TAATAATAATAATAATAATAATAATAATAATAATAATAATAATAATACTTTGGCTGTGAGTGTGTGTGTGTATGGACAGATAAGTAGGAAGTTAAGTCATTGTTCCTGTATTTCTAAAGCTGTAAGATTATGAATATGACCTGAAATCTGAATATGGAAGAAGAAAAACAAGTGAAGAGGTCAGCGGGTGCAGCCGATCTTCCCTGTCTGCTCCTATGGAGGTGTGTGTGTTGGTGTGAGAGGGACGAGCTGGGATCACCGGGGGCTGGAGCCTCTGTCTGAAGCGCCCTCTCCCCTCTGGCACAAAAGGCAATCAATAGGAAGCATTTTTCCTCATCTGTGGCTCCTGACAGCTCTCTGAGAGAAGCCCTGCCTGCAAGGCCTCCTCCGCCTCCCTCCATCCCTTCATTCCAAATCCAGCCTCTCTCAGATGCATATCTGCAGCTTTCAGCCCAGAGGAGAAACACAGCACGGGGCTTTGTCTACACGTCTGACTCTGCTCCACGTTGAAAACATTTCACATCCTAATTTCAAGATTTTTTGTTCACATGAATTATTCAAGGCCTCCCAGCCAATGAATATAAATCCATCATGTCTGCCCTGATATATTCTGCCTCAATTAAGGGACGGGGTTTGAAATTAGATGGAAAGATGGCAGATCTATATTTGGAAGAATTAATGAGATCTCACCTCAGTCTCAAATATTTATGCTCAACCATCCAATGCAGAGAAATACACATATGTCATCATGTAATGAACACAATATTATGCTTTGTGTAGATTCTCCACATGGTTCAGCTGTTAGATTCTGGTTCATGTGTTTTTACTAATGAGCCTGAACTTCAATGGACTGATTTTGGGTGTCTTGAGTTTGGAGTAGATGGCTGTTAAATGACACCGTACCATATCCAGCTGGGGACAGTTGTGAACTCACAAATGAATGGAGATGTGCCCTTATGTGGGCAGGAAACACACGTCTGGACGAGCAGCCTTTGGGACGGTGCAGCACGGAGCAATGACCCGTGCTTTTTATGGTTCTTAATGGCATGTGGAGAACCACTTATGTCAGTGTTTGTGTATCTGTAGACCGATTCAAACACGTCCTGTTTGCCACTGCTGAATGTTTGCTGAGTGAGGTTACTGGAACAGAATTGAGGGAGCAAACTGTGATAGAAGACATGCTCAGTGAGGTGAGCACCAAGAGCAAGGGGGAGCTTAAACCAGACAGAACGCAGAAACAGAAACATGTAAAATATCAAATGACCTAAAGAAAACAAGGGGTCCAGTCAAAAAGTATTTTTACTCACTAAATAAAGTGTCTTGGCTCCAGCCATGAGGGGGGCTGCTCACTTAAAAAGAGGTTTTCAGTCAACCACATCATTTGATATGCTTTATTACCCCAAAATACTTCAAATGACATCATGAGAGTGTCCATATCAGTTAATGGGAGAAGTAAGCATGGAAATTGGTACCTGTGGAGGTGACCAGTGAGCCAGGAGGGCATGAGTTGCTGTGTGAGTTCCTGTTGTGTGTGTGTGTGTGAGTTTCATCAGTCACTCACCAGAAATATCCTCTCTAGCTGGTCCTGGATGTCCTTCATTCCAGGAAAGGCAGCCACTCCTTGGATCATCTCAATAAAAATACAGCCCACTCCCCTGGAAGAGAGAAGCAGTTTACTTTTTCTTTTTCTAAGTCCAGGTCACCAAAAATCCACAGCAGAAAATCAGTCATGACAGGTTTTTAGTTTGTCTTAATTCTGATTCCGTGAAAGTCAGACAAGGTTAATTTTGTTGTTATCTAAATGTCTGGTACAATAAATGTAGTAGAAGGAGAAAGAAGGTATTTCATTGCATATTGTAATTTGTCAGTCACTTCCTAATAAATTAACTTTCTGGATCATTGCACATATGAGAGAGAGAAATGTATATAAGCAGGATTTCCTCCCTTTACATTTCTACAACTCTTCCATTTAAAGGGAAGAACCTCATCATCCAGTAAGAGGTGGATATGACCACGTGGAAAAAGGTAATCCCAAAAAATACAGCTTTCCTCTCGGGCTAACATTTCCTTCTTATCAATTTTGTCTGAGAAACCCAGCAAATATTGGTCTTCAATATTTAACCTGAACTGTACAGCTCCCAGTCAGATAATTTCTACTGAGAACTTCCAAAATATGGTCCAGTTCAAGCCAAATCAAAGCCGATCCCAAGCCGATCTGTCTCTTCATGTTGTTTGCTTGTATTCAGCCATCAGGACGTAGAATAAGTAAATGAGGGCGAGGGGGCACCTGGGAGACTATAAACCGCCCTAAAACCAAACACAGACTTCACGTGGCCTTTGGTCCTGCTGACTCGCCCTAACCCAGTTGTGTCTGGAAAGTACAGGCGTCACGTTTGTGGCTTCTTTGCGAGCAGCGTGAAGGTTCTGACAGACGTGAGTGTGTCAGCCGTTCTGTGCACAGACAGAATGACCCGATCTGAGCAAAGACAAACCCTTCTCAGCACATCCACTCTGATTCTGTTTTATGAAGACAGCAACACTATCATTTCCTCCTGATCTTATTCTCTATCACAGCTGTCACATCTGTGCCATAATTCCAACCAATCTCGGCTTCGGAGGAAGTCGGTCTTATTGTCTTCATAGAGAGTGGCAAACTCGAAAAATGTTGTGCTCAGAATGACTTCTGTTAGCTCAAAGTAGGTTATCGGTTCTATTTTCTGCTCCCAGAATGCATCCGTCTGTGCTAAATATTCCTCAGCCCATGTTATAAAAAATGACCGGTGGCATTCCTACAGAACAAATGTAGAAGATAGTCATCAAATAATTTAAGAATGCTATGTCTTCAACACTGGACCAGTACGAGTTGGTTACCAGAGATTTTGTCATGGTCTCACTATCTGGCTACTTTTACCAAGTCTAGTTTTTTATTGATTTCTGCTTTGCTATTAATTCTAAACGTAATAAAGGGATTATGTATGTGAGGCTTTGCAAGAACATTTCATCCCTGTATCAACAGAGGAACCCTCAGATATGTGTGATCAGCCCACTGCTCACCCTGCAGACAGATTTCCTTCCTATCTAATCACAAGAGCTCCGTCTCATCAGTGGCTAAAAAAAGACTGCACACAGGAGGGATATTGAACTACTTGCAGCATGACCACAACAACCGCAGTCAGCGTGCTGACCCATAGCTCCCAGAGATGGCCACCTCTTCCCCTCCTGCTGCCTGTGTGAGGGAACATTCTCCTCAGGGACGTGTCACATCCAAAACACAACACATCCCACCTCCAGCCTCTGGGGAAGAGACCCATTTCCTCCCGGTTAGGTTTTACTCTACTGAAATAGTTCTTTGTACTTTTTTTATCTGGCGGGTATTTTTTGGTTGTATCTTCATTCCCAGCTGAAGGTCTAGGATGGAGGTTTGGCTCAGAACACTTACGTTGTGAGTGGATCGACTTAAGGATTATTTCAGACTTTCCAATAACAACGTTGTCACAAATATTCTCAGTGGCACACAGGTTTACTTCACATGCTGTCGTTTGAAGGTAAGACTGAGTCCCAAAAGTTCGACAGAGAATTCTTTATCTGTGAAACAAATCTGAAAACACACTTTTATTCTTTGGCTTTGGATGCAGTCTGAGGCTGACACTGGTCTGACTGTCTATTCAGTATACTGTCAGACAACTTTAGTTTCTCTATGTTTTTACTGGTTTGTGGCTCTTACATGTTTTATTTCTGTGCTGTTTTTAGCTGGAGCACTTTGGGCAGCATTGTGTTTTATTTCTTTTAAAGTGCTATATACCATGATGTTGTCATGATATGGCATCAAATGGACAAACGTCCCAGCAGATGCAAACATCTTAGCATATATTTTATGCCCACTGTAAAATGATATCTTTGCTTTAGTTATTCACAGTTGAATTTAGGACCATGTGTGCTGCATCCTTTATGAGGGCCATGTTAGACAGTCCCAGTATCATAACTAACGTGAGCATTACACCCCTGTTGGATCATGATGTGAGTGTTAAGTCCGACTGATGAATGTGTGTAAAAGTAGAGCTGGGGAGGGAATTGTTCCTCACACAACCTTCATACTCCTCCTTGCAGCCTGTAACCTGCTGTCTGCTGTGATGGATGCTGCTGGTGGCAGGAGGACCTATGAGGTCCTGTGCCTCTCCATGGACCACTGCTTTCCAAGTGAGAATGGGGGAGACAGGGTGCAATGGAACAATTCTCAAGCTGAAACCATCCTTTAAGCAGACACTATCCCCCGCCCGCCCAGCCTCTCAGCTCTTCTCTTTCATAAGAAACTGCAGAATACATCTGAGGGCTTTGAGATTCATTGCTGGTTGCCTGATTAGGCACAAACACTGTCACCAATTCCCGCATAGGGTAAATATTATCAAAGCAGTGCAGATATCAGTGTTTGCTTGAAACCCACTCATGCCTGTTGAGCCGGTTAGCTGTCCTCCAACAGCCTGTGCTTCACCACCAACCTTCTAACTTCATTCCCCCACGTGCACTGGTTGAATAAGAAAGCCTGAACTCTGAATGAGCCCCTCCATCATCTCCCTTTGGTGAAGTCTTAACTAGCCCATTATTGCTGAAGTGAAGTACGTTTGAGGTATCCAGAGCCACAAAACCAAAAATGCTATTTGGCTTTTTAAGAAAATCTATCCATGAAAGGATGGTGTCTGACTTGGTGACATTTGTAGAAAGCAGCAGAAACACTGCTCATCAAGTTGAACATATCCAGTGGTTGATCTTTATTCTATGTCTTTACCGTACCATTTTCATGACGTTAATCTCAGGATTGAATTGAATTGAAAGCCTTTATTGTCATTGTACACAGTACAATGAGATTTGGATACTGGGAGCTGAAACTAAAGCATCCCATAAGCCCTTTAACAGCACATGAAAGTGACATTTTCCTTTGAGCCCGGCAGTAACCAAGGTAACCACTGACTGTAGCAGCACAGGTCTGCAGAGGGACTCCCCACTTCCTGCTCCACCACTGCTTGGTTCTCTGTAAAGCCTAGTCCATCCAGCAAGTGAGGCGTGAGAAGATGAGGTAGAGCTAGACCTAGATTGAGCCTGTGTATCTGGAGTCAGAGCCTGATCAGGTGGCCTGAACTTGTGTTAAGGTTTTCTCTGTGTATGTCCTTCTCTTGTTCATGCTCATTTCTCTAACAATATCAACACAACTAAAAAAAGTAGTGTGTATAAAGAAATTCTCTGGAAACCAACAATGCTACAAGAGGAGCCTCAAAAGCTCAGGCAAATGCAACATGGCCACCAAACATGGCCACCCAGAAATGACAGTATTCAGAAACTGGTAGTTGCTAATCTGCCTTGTTTTGCAAAGGATTTGTATATCAATTGGATTTGGACAGAAAGGAGATTGTAGGTATTTTTTACTAGATATATACGTCCATGTGTCCTATTCTTATAAAAAACCAGGGACAATATGAGTTCAATGGTAATTGTTTTATCTCTATCTGAAGTGATCCATCTCTGTGTGTAGTAGAAGTGTAATTACGGTTTGTGTATCTCCACTCTCTAATCTACAGCTCACAGCAGGGAACCGGGAAACGCAGCCTCTGGTGAAGACCAGCAGCTGCCAGCTGGGGTTTAATTGGTTGAAATCCATTTCATGATTTTACTAGGCAGCCTCTCGAAGAAATCCATTTGGATAAAAAATTAAGAAGCTCAACTCATGAGTCAGAGGCTATGGGCACCTACCACATGTCCAGGCAGGTTGAGTAGTCAGTGGAGCCCAGTAGGACATCTGGAGGCCGGTACCAAAGGGTCACCACCTCATTAGAGTAGGTGTGGCTGGGGACGGATTTGGCCCTGGCCAAGCCTGCAGGATTGGGAAAGAAAAAAGAAGAGTTTGAGAAGACAAATGCATTTGATGACTTTCTGAAAAAAAAGACAGCAAACAAATAATGATAGTGCTAGTGATATAAACAGTAAAGCATCATTAATAACATGAGATTAGAAACACATGTGTAGTTTATATAAACTTTATATTGTTTTTGGTGAAAGTACAATGTTATACAGACAAATAATAATAAGGAGCTGAATAAGTATTTCGAAGAGTAATAGGTGGGCCTTGCCAACGGCAGTGGCCCCCCTAATAAAGGATGAGGAGACACACAAATATCTGCATGAAGCAGGCCTGTGCAACAGCAGAATGAGAGTCAGGACCACACCCTGCAGCTGCTGAATCTGAGAAGGACTGGCTGGATCTAAGTGTGGTGTGATCAGTTTGGCCACTGTGCAGAAGAAATGTGGTCACCGTAATCCATTAAAGAAATTAGCTAACAAGAGTTAGCTGGACAACTATGGATGTGCTACCAAAGACAGTGTGGCTGCTGGGATGCACAAATCCTTAAACATACAAGTCAGGTGATCAGACAAAGCCCTTTAGTGTAGAAAGATCCAGTGAGACATTATTGGACATTTTCAAACCAGACTATGGCTGATGCTAATACAGCCAGCTGCAGGATGCTCCAGAGTTGAATTATTAACAGTGTGATCCTCTCCAGGTTTTTCCCTTGTTCCAGCATCCATCAGGGCAGCGACACAAAGCCAGTTTTCCCATAATAGTACGACCAGAGTGCTTTAGTGATTACCTCTTTGTCTCTTCACAAGTCAGCGCAGGGCTTAATTAAAGAATGGGGCTCGGTTTAAAAACATCCTGCCCCACAGTGAGCGCCATGTGTGAAGGAGGAAGGAGGGCAGAAGGGAGAATAAATTAGAGGGGGAAGAGGTATTTAACATTTCCATGTGTCAGAACACCCACAAGAGAAAGGAGTTTCACTTTTACCAAGCACTGTAATTTCTACACTGATCTAACACAGGGGGCATCAAACCACTCCAACTGATAGGCTATTATCCCACTCCCAGAACGTGTGTGTGTGTGTTGGAGGTGACCACAGATGACATCAGGAGGAGGATGGAGTGTTTGGAGGTTGGCTTGTTTGGAAGTGAACGGGTGTAATGTGGTACAGAAACAAATGGATGCACCACAAAAGCCATCCTGCCTGTCAGCAGTAGCACAGTAACACCTATTCACTCAGACATCGGCTCTCTTCAACAGATCTTAGTCATCGCTGCTAACTGCAAGCTTAAAGATGAATTTCAAATTAGAAATTAAACCTATAATGCCAAATGTATCATATTTGATACATACCGTTTCTGAAATGTTTTGCGTCTGACACCTTTTGCATCATTTAATGGTAAAAACTTTGCTTAAAATCCTATTGTACACAATCAGATACACCTGATAACAGGGGGCAGAAGACTACACAAAAAACTATCTTTACTTATCGCATACTAATGATTTATTAAAAATAAAAATGTATTTCTGTTTTATCTTTTTACATATTTTGTTAAAAGGCCAAATATGGAATTCAAACAAAAAAAAGTAATTTTCTGTTTTGTTTTATTCTTGGATCAGGCTTTAAAGGGTTAAATGTCTTAAACAAATGAAGGACGTGTTTTTTTTACTCATTTCGTATGTATTAAATTCAGGGCAACAAACTGGAACTCAATTTGTTGTTGGAATACAGAGCCTAAGCGGGAACATTATTCATTTCATTCTATTAAAATTAAGCAAAGATGGATGGATGGACTTTTTCATTTCAGTGGATACTGATGAATTAACCTGAGGTGTGTAATGTCCAGCCAGGTTAATTCAATGACACCACACAACAGAACATTCATCATCTCATCTTTGTGAAATGAATACATGCAAAAAGATAAAGTATTTGAAATGTACCAAAAATAGCTCATTCAAACTTGTTAAAAATCAGCTCTTTCCCTTCCATCGTTCAATCGTTACACATTACACCTCCACACACACGTTGCAGGCGCAGCATTTCCTCCTAACATACGATACTCAGTGTGTGTTTGTTCACTGGGTTATCACAATGTGCCCCATCTACAGCCAATATGAAGCAGCTAGCGCTTTGGCTGTGGGTCCAGCTACATCTGACCGACCTTTGACTCTATTCAGTGTGCATGGCAGCAGGAACATAATTGTGGTAAGACAAACAGCCCCAGCCTTATCTATCAAAAGATCCAGGCGCGCTCTGCAGATGAGGGCACCGCTTCAAAAGCCTGACCTTTGGATTCATATCAACAAGCCTATACACACAGACCTCCAGCCACCTTCACCCCACGAGGCTCTGCTGCTGGGCAGGGAGGAAGGTCAGCAGTAAATTACACCATACCAGAGGCCAACAAACTGAGGGTGCGAAGAAGTGAGAAGCACAAAGGGAACAAAGAAATAACAGATACATTTTCCCTGATAGCTGACCCAGTTTTCATTCCACTGAGGTCATTTGGATTTTAGAGGCCGTTTGCACCTTTCTTTTTGCTTTTGTTTCAACTTAAAAAAAAAGAAAAGAAAAGAAAAGAGAAGGTGGTCTAAAATAGATTTGATGTCATGAATGGGGGGGTGGTATTGTGGTGAAGGCATCCAAATGCCAGGCCCAGGGAGGAACCAAGGAGACTTCAGAAATCTATTTTATTCACAAAAACAACAGAAAGCCAATCAGAAGCTTGATAGAAAAATAACCAAACACACCAAAACAACACCTAAAACCAGGGAACAGATTGGGAGAAAGACATGGTATTGCATAGAGAGTATGGAGCAAAGAGGGACATGACTGAGGCTTTCACAGAGGAGAGTGGGACTAGTGAAATTAAAGCAGGAGACTGAGACGCAGGTGCAGGGAGCTGAGAGATAACTGGAAAAAGGAGAGACTAGAGGGAAGTGAAGTGAAGTACTAAGAGGCACAAGGAACAGGAAGACAAGCCAGACACCAAAATAAAAGCACAGGAAGACACTAAACCTAAAACATAGAATATGACATTTACACTCGCTGAAATCAGTGTATCTCACACTGACACAAAAGAGTGCCTTTGAACAACTGTTCTCCCTTTTTTAGCATAAAGAAAAACCTGCCTGCAAAGGCTCTGGTGAATCACAGCAAGATAACTCTCAATTAAAGATTAAAAAAATGCTTTATGAAAGAGAACTGAGACAGTGAAGTCAGTGAAGCAGAGAAAATCAAATCTTTTAAAATTTTTTATTTCATTCTCAGATCTGCAATCAGGACCAGATCAAAATATGCTGAGCAGGAAACGTTACAGGAACGATATGCTGTCCAGCATTGCTTGGAGATTAAGGTTTTTCTCAGAAGGACCCTCCTTGAGTGTGTGGAAAACCACGATGATGGAATGGACTAAAGAACTAAGACTGGATCATGCGGCTAAAAAATGAAATATTAAATCCCCTAAAGCTGAACCAATCAGATCTAAGCCAATCGCTGATATGATATGAAAGCTAAAATCTTTGGCCCCACTGTTAGGTACTTTAGCTGTAGAGGCACCATGTGAGGACGTGTCTCCTCCAGCTCCCCACAGGAAGCATTCTCCTCTAATCATTCTGTAGAAAACAGCACAGCAAAGCCTGCTCACTTTTTCTACCTTCTCTGACCATGTGGAGTGAACCTGCTTAACAAGATTTCACTATTTCTGTGCTAGTATCCAAGTATCCAATCAGATGAATCCTTCTGCAGAGGCCCATTCACACAAAACCAAACCCATCACCACCTCCACACGTCTTGGATGACCTCTAGCTACATCCTTGAAACGAAACAAAGGCTCTTTACGGTGTGATTTCCAGTAAGTGGATGTTTGTGCTCATTAAAGCCCAGAGTGGAGCAGACGGATGTATCTGGATTAACTGCACAGCAACTGATGTTGTTCCAACAGGCCAATATGTGAGGGATGATAAAAAAAGATTGGATGATATAAAGTTATTTCCTGCTATTTACGCTCAGCAGGAATCGAATAACATAATGTACATCTAAGCTTGTTCATTTTGACCATTATTAAAAACACTTTTAAAGGTGAGGCCAGTGAGCTCTGGCGTTATAAACCTTAACCTTTTTTTTATCTCTTCTTCTTTGACATCTAAATCCTCTCCCCTCCTAGCCTCTCCTCCTCCTCTGAGTGCTCCTCTCCCCCCCCCCTCCTCTTTTTCGGGACTCTCCCTCCATCTCCGTCTCGTTTACCTCGACCAGTGCCCGGGGCCTCAGCTGTGGACCGTTAGTACTCCTGCTGCCAAGCCCAGAGACCGCAGGGAGCTCTGGCACACACACAAAACACACACACACACCCTCATGTGCACGCTCCAGACTCATGCACACAGCCCTCCGCTCACCTTCCTCATCTGGCTGCCCTCAGGCTCAGGCTCATTTTGGTTTTTTTTACATGTTTGCTAACGAGCGCTAGCAACAGACTAATAGGAATGGGGTTTCTGCTTTTTTCTCCTTTGGTATTTGGTCCATTATTTTTCTCCTACTTGTGTCCTTTTGCAGCCATGTTTCTGCACTAACACAAGGCTTGCATTATTGATGAAGCAGCCTCCTGCCTTCTCCTCCCATCTGCCTGAGCGGAGGGATGGAGGGGTGGAAGGCTGGAGGGGGGGGGGGTGGCTGGGGAATAAGGAGTTAGGAAGTGGGTGGACAGGTGAGAAGCGCTCGGGTAAAGACTTAGCCCGGTCGGATGGGTGGGATGGAGGGAGGGAGGGACGGATGAGACACACAGAAGGCTGTGCCACTGTTAACTGTCTGCCCCCCATGGAAGACACACAGATTTACTGGGCATGGATTCAAGCCATATGGCTCCACTTGAGCCACAGTGAAGAACACACTCCCAAACATACTAGGGTTTAATTGAGCAGATAACCATTAACACACACATATGACTCCTGAACATACTTGAGAGGCAAAGGTTTGAACAGATGAATGGAATAAAACTAATCCAAAGCTATCTAAATAAAGGGGCTGACATGGCAAACCTCCCTTCATCTACATGGCCCCTTTGTCTGACAAACAAAAGGCACTGGGAAAGAAAAGAAAATGAACACACTCTCTCTGACCCAGCACTGCCCTCCAGGTCTGTTCACACACACCAAAGAGCCTCAGTCTAAGCATTATATGGCAGTTATTTATGGTCATGGCAGTAGGATGCTGAAGGGGTTACCTTTCCTGACAGGTGACATTTAACCGTTAAAGAAGGCAGGGCCACAGAAATGTGGCCCCACGTGTTAGTATTATTAAAAAATGACAATAGCTTTGGTAACTGTGTCATGAGAGTCGATTCAGGGTGGCAGAGGAGACACTCAGAAGCATCTAGGTCTCTGCCTGTGGCTGTCCCGTCTGGGGGAGTGTCTGGTGTGTTGTCATGTGTTGATTACCTATTGTGTACACCTGGGGTTCCCCTCCCTCATGTGGTTAAATAGTCCTCGTTTCCCATGTCCTGTGCCAGTGCGTTTTTTCGTCTTTCGTCCTTCTTGTTTCGTCACCCCCACGCCAGGTTTGATTTTTGCCACAGTCTTATTTACTTTGTTCCATAGCCAAGTTTTCGTCATAGCCATGTTTTGTCACAGTTTTGTTAACGATGATTTGATACTTTACCACAGTCTTGTTTACTTATTGCTTTGATACTTTGTTCATAGTTTTTCACAGCCTTGATTTGAACTTAGTCGGGACATTCACTTTTTGAACCTGTTTTGTTACAATAAACCCTGTTTTCGTCATATCCGCGCCTGAGTCCTCCCTCAAGATCCACCTCCCTGACAGTGGCAGTGTGTTATACTGTACTCTGAGTTGGAAGCGGGGCTGAGCAGGCTAAGCAACTCCAGGGCAGAATCACCCGATCAGACCTCACCAACTCACCTTTCTGAGGAAGTGCTGGAACACCAGACGTTGCCAGACGGTTGAACTATCTTTTAGCGCTGCACCCCTGCAGATGCATTAACCTGTTCCCTATGCTCATGCTCCTGTGAATTTCCTTTCCATGCCAGAGTTCACCTATGTGTTTAGGCACTGTGGATTCCACCTGCTGCTCTCAGACTGCCTGTTCGCCCCCTCCCAACTCAGAGCCCCCCCTAACAGCCAGCAGATCCTCCACACCTTCACCTGAACGAACTTCTTCACCTGTTCGGGACCGGACTTCAGTCAAAATCCACTCATTTTTTGAGTCTGGTGTTTGAGTCTCCTCTTGGTTCCGCTCTAACTATACATTAGTCCGTATAGATCCCACAGTTAGAAAATATAGGACATCTCACCAAAGTCAGCCAGTTTGAGTTCTCCGGTGTCGCTGATGAGCAGGTTTTGTGGTTTCAGGTCACGGTGAAGGATGTATCTCTGGTGGATGTAAGACAGGCCCCGCAGTAACTGGAACAGGAAGAGCTGAGAAACAACCAAAAAACAGAGACATTCACCTCCAAAGCCTTTTCATCTAAATGCAGCAAAGAGCTTTTTTCATCACACCTCAAAAGTATCTCGGCCATTTGTCTCTGTCTCAGCAGCCAACTGAGAAAGTGTCGTGTGCACAGAGGTGTGGAAAACCTCATCATCACCAGAGCGCCGGGCTAAATGAAGACTGGCACACTTTCTGCATGTTATTCCAAAAGCAGCTCAATACAGCCCCCCCGCCTGAAAGGCCCCCACACACAAATCGATAGGAGCAATCTGTCAAGAAATTAGCCCTCTTCCAGTTCCACGCCAGAGGTGGCTGCATCGATTGGCCGGAGTAATAAGTGGTAATCAAACCGCTGATGCCTTCTTAATGGGCATGAATCATGCCTCATGTGTTCCATTGTGTGTGTTCTGTGAGGAATGCTTTGTTTTAGGAGATTAAGGATGTGTTTAACAGAGACGAGCAAACCGATGACAGCAGACCTGGGACAGTGGGACAGATGTAGCTAAAATCAAAGCGAGCGGGCCTGATGCCACGTTCATTTCTTGAATTAAGTTAAATCGACTTCATATAAAGGTCTAATCATTTGGTCTGCAGACCAGCTCTAAAGAGGCGGGGCTCAGCTTGCTGAAGCTAAAATTTGACGTTCTTAAGCTCTAATATATGTATATTCATTTTTAAATATCAAACTTTACCATGCTGCATTGCCTGTTGGGCCTCCTCGTTCTGCTTCATTTAGAAGATCATGCTTTATGTTCTGGGCTGCTTTGTTAACTTTGTTTCCTGTTTCATGTCCTGTGTCCTTTAGCTTACAATAACTCTTTCACGTTTGATTAGTTACAGAATGATAGATGAAATAATCTAAAACAATGAAAATAATAATTAAATAGTTTTTTTTTAACTCAAAATCTTTTTTTTAAATAAATCCATGGATTCACATCCACTCTAATGTCAGGAATGTGTTTTTACTTACATTTCACTTCACTAAATTTACAGTAAAGTAACATACTTAAAACATTATATTATATTTGTCATCAGTGAACAGACACTCAGATTGTATCTGCACTACATTCATTTAATCAAGGGCTGCACGCTGGGAAGGAAAACATTCTCAAATTCTGTAAGAAAGTCCAAAAATGGGCCCAAAGCCACAGCTGCATTCGGCTAGTTTAATTTCTAATTCTGGTAGTTCACGACCTTCATTTGCAGCCGAGCCAGTCAACAAATAATGAGGCATACAGCTACTCGTTTTATTCCAATTCCAGCAATCACCTCTAAATCCCCCCCCCCTCAGTAACATCGTAGTCACAGTCAATTAATCAGATTGAAGCACTGTGGAGTCCAATCAGGGACGCAGCTCAGCTGGCCTGTGGAGTCACCAGGCCCCCAGTTTACTCTGCTTTACCTCGCCGGGTGAGAGATGGTCCGCAGTGGGGGGGGGTGTTTACTCATGTATATCACACACACTTCTGCAAACCCTCTACCCTGCTAAGAGAGAAAAACGCATTTAAATTCAAACCTCTGGAAGGAGCAGTTTACTTCTTATTACTTACTTCTTATTCCATTTGCTCTCTGATGTTTTGGGGAGAATGAAATGGTGGGGGGGCTGGAGGAGATGATTCAGTTTTAACACGGGTAAAATAATATTTGTTGGAGGAGCAAATTTCATGTTCATCCTCTTGATATTTGTCCATCATATTTCCGTATTTATCAAGCAGCAGTTGATGACAACTACTATTCCAACTCAACCTATGCTGATTGGTGTATCCAACATGTGTTTAAGATATCCATCCACATAAATATACCTAATCTGTGGTTTAATGTTATCCTCCACCCTCTGCAAACCGCTCGGTCTTATAACATCTGCCTGAAGCTGCTTTGTGTGGACGCCAAATTCTACCTTTTATTTTGATGTGAAACAGGCTGTCAATGAACTAAACTAATATATTTATCAATTGATGGAGTCCTTTAAATGATCAGCAGTGCATGAGCTGCACCTGTAAAAAAGGGCTCAGAGCAAATGTGCTACTAGTTTTCTGAGGAATAAAGCTAGCTTCACTCGTGCTTATGTATTCAACAGTGGGCATCACGGACACTGACACATCACCAACACCATTATCTACTCTGATAATAAAAATAACATATGGATCAAAAGTACTTTTTAAAGACTGACAAACACATGGTGGAGCTATGGTGCTGTTGTTTCTCTTAGATGATTCTACACATGTGGACTGATATAAATGATTTTTTAACAACATTGACAAGCACAGAATTTTGATAGCCATCTTAAACCAAGTCAAGAGCAATCTGAGGACAGAAACCCCCCCGACAGGGTCATGGTGAGCCATGAGGAGAGAAACCTACATACCAACAACTTAGGGTGTCAATGGTACTCCTTATTATTTACTGAATAGTATAGTAGGCCCGAAAATGAGATGAACTTTTGGAATGAAGTGAAGTACTCCAGCTCTCAGTTCAATGAACCATTAGGTCCACTGAAACCCAACTCCTAACAAAAAGAACCTAGAAAGGTTTTGCTTTTAACAGACTGGAGTCCAGGTGGAGTCCATGCCTCCAGAGGTCAGAACTGCTTTGGCCTAATAATTCACAGCACCGAAACACGTGAAATGCTTCCTCAGTAACTTTAAAATCTGTGAAATACCCCATTATCGATTTTAGCCTTAGCAGAATAAGGGTAAATTGTCTCTGTCTCAGAAGAAGAAAAATTTGTGTAACCAAAAACTAGCCTACAGCCCCTCGGTTTATGTGTAAGGGTTTGTGTAATCGTGGTGCATCTCAGTTACTCCCCATCTGCAGGAGAGAGAAAGCCTGTGATCGAAGTGAAATCACTCATTAAAACGATCTATCACCTGAAGAGTGACCATTCCTCCTGCAGAACAATACCTCATCGACCCACCAAATTGCCATTTTTCAAATGATAAAATACTTACTGCCATCACGCCCAAGGCAATCAGAGCTCCTTATCAAGATAAGCGCTATGTTATCAAAGGTGATTGGATAAGATCACCCCTGTGGTGTCCATCAGCGGAATGTCAGAGTCTCTATTTTGCCTGGTGCTCACTGCGCAGTAAAGCACGACGTAATGCATCAAAATGACAGCGGCAGATTGGGATCCATAGTAAGCTTGACAGATTTTCTTGAACAAAAGCGCAGAGAGGAAAATCAAAGATGCAATACATTTATATGATGTCAAGAAAAACTCAAGACCGACCAAGTGTAAGATGTCTGTCAACCAAAGGGAGCTATTGTACTTTACTGGCCTGAGAATGAATTCAATTAAAACCAAAGGCTTAACAGGTGGCAAGAATAATATTGCTAGACTCTAGTAGGGTTGTCACGATACTAAAATTTTCAACTCGATACCGATACTCAGGAAAATACTCGATACTCGATACCATTTTCGATACCACATGGATCAAAACAAAGACCCCAATATTTAACTGAATTGTGTCTTTCATTTCAAACTGACCTGTTACTGATGTTATCATGACTGGAGGCCCACATTAATGACCCTGACCCTAACCCTAACCCTAACCCTAACCCACATTAATGACCCTGACCCTAACCCTAACCCTAACCCTAACCCACATTAATGACCCTGACCCTAACCCTAACCCTCCACCCTTCATAATTGTGAGAAATAAATATTTTTTGGTTAAACTTGTTTGGACTTATTGTACAAACCTATTTAATATACACTATTTTAACATAATATGTATGGAGTTTAATTAAGTGTTTGAAAGATTCATTTAACTATTTTTAAATTATTGTCTATATTGCCATGAAGCAATTAGGATTTTCTTGCCTGGGATTTTCCTATTGGTGACCTAGTCAAAATGGCCGACTTGGATGTGGGGGAGTTGGATATGTACTTGATTAATGTTGGCGTGTTATTATTAGCCATTAGCCGCAGCTAGCAAGGCTAACGTCTTGTTAATGATCATAAACAACGTAAATAAATACATAAATAAATCAGAGAGAAGGGGCGCAGCGACGGCAGGTCAGCGTCGCGCGCGCGTGCGCGCGGGCACGCGCGGTGGTATCGATACTTTTAAAAATGAGTATCGTATCCGGATACAACATTTGAGTATTGATACTTTTTTGAGTATCGATACTTTTGACAACCCTAGACTCTAGCATGATGCAGGTAGTTCTTGTAAGGAACTACCTGCATCATGGCAGCCATAAAGCCCATGAGGCTGAGGGACAGACTCAGGAGTGAGGGGAGAAGAGCTTGAAAGAATCTTAGATGGTTTACTGCATCTCCAGGGATTCAGATAGCCTGAGACCTGGAGTGGCCAGACCTTGATCTGGTAGAGGTTCAATAACAGAGCCAGTCGCTCTGCTCTTCTGAGACTGATAGATGACAGTCTCCATGGCCATTCCCCGAGGAAATGCCACAGAACAGAGACAGCCATGACCGGGGAGTCAGTGTGGATGCCAGTCAGTCTGCTTTGATGGCGTCTGGACAAAGGGTTTCAAAAGGCCAGTTCTGTGGCAGGAAGAGGGCTGGACCATGTCAGAACTATGCTGGAGCAGCCAATGAGGATGAGGTTATATTCTGTAATGGAGAACAAGAAGCATCCTGGCAGGACAGAGGAGTAGCTGCAGGTCTGAGAGCTTCAGGAGGTCCTTCGTCCCTCAGGCTTTAAAGAGGGACTGTGAGAGTTGCAGAGCACCCCACCTGCACCTGCACACCTATATGTTACTTCCCCGGCATGTTTTCATGGTGTTCATTGCTAAAAACATGATAGTGAGTCAATAGCTCTCACAATCGCATAACCCTTGATCCCAAAATCTAATGTTGGTTTTAGCCAAGCAACTGGAATACTGATAATATTTTTCTTTCTCAAGTCTCTTAAAGAATCCTTTACGTTTTTTAACTGCTATCATCTCACAGTTTACTGCATCACAATCCCAGGTTCTTATCACCTGGGTAGCCCTACATGTTGTTTAGCCTAAGCTTTTGTTATTATCTGTTCCCAAGCAAAATCTCTCAGTTCCAGAAACCTCTCTGATTCTGGTCCAGTGATGTTATAGTCTCAGTTTAATGTTAACCCTTATCAGCGCACTTTATTTTGGGGGGAAATGGTAAAGGCATCAAGCCACATGTTACCGTTGTACATACTCATTCCACTTCTTAGTTTGAATCATTTGGGGATCACAGCACCAATCACCACTGGTACCACGAAGGCCTTTGATTCTCACATCATTTGTTTTTTCCAGCTTTTCATTTTCTTTCTGCTCGGCGTTAGATTTAGAATTGCTCCATTAGTCACTACAGCACTTCATCTTTAGTTTGCAAGCCACAAACTGCCAGAAATCCACTCGCTACAAGCTGAAATCAATAAAGAAGCATCAACAGCTCAAATGAATGATGAGCACACATGCAATAGTGAACATCTTTAAAATGATCCTCACTGTCAGTCTAAAAAATAGATCTGGCCACTACTGAAAGATTCCTGAGAGATGGTGAAACTCACAGCGACACAGAGATAGTGTCAGATACCGGAACGGTAAATGGATACAGATAGTGCTCACAAGCACTTGTAATGTAATTATGACAGCAAATGGTAGCCCAGCTTTGGCTTGTTGACATGGTTTTGTGGGTATCAGTTTCCCATTGATTTGCGGGGGCCACTGAGTCACAGTGCCTCCCTGACTGGGTCAAATCTAATAAGCAGAGCACTCCAACAGCAGTCTGAATGAGCTCATACTCCAGTGCTCAGTCAGCTCCACTACAGAGTGTAAAGAGCTAATAGTGCTACGATACGAGATAGTTTCCACTCCAGTTCACACAAAAGTGCTGAGATTCACCACCATAAGTACACTAGTGGTGATTGTGTGAATCGGTTACTAAATGCTCATTAGATCTGGTAACAGTGGAGACATAACTGTCGGTGACTACAGAGGATGATAGCGACTGACCAAACACCTGAGCAGGGCTTATGTGGTCAATACCTAGTGTCCAGATTCCAAACAATGTTACTGACAACAATTGCTTCTGTCAGAGTGAGTTCTATTTATTAGTTAGTTTGTGTTTTCATTAGTTTATGCCTTTACTGACACTACACCCCAGTTCATGGGACCTTAGCAGTCCTTTTGTGATCTGGATCCACAATCTTCTGCTCAAAGCAAAAAGCTGTGTCGTGCAGCTTGCTTCCACCTGTTCTGCTCCTGATATTTGTCCTTTATGATGTCCATACACCCCACAAAGGAACAGCATGTTAATGCATTGATTACTGGATCAGATTTTGATAACCCTTGCTCAAAATAAGAGGATGATAAAGCCTAATTACAGGTCATTATCATTATTATAGATGGCAGTATTTCCACTGAACCCTATTTTAAACTGAAATAGAAATATTAATGTTTCATAGTATAATAAACTACACGAAATGTGGCAGAAACATCATGGAAAATCAACAAAAAAACCATTGAGAACACAAGGGATAGAATACTTGAGTTTTGGTTCAATTTGACCTAAAAGCCAGTTTAAAAAGTAAGCTCCCTGTGTGGTACTGTGCCATAAAGCACTGAAATTAAACCGTGAGTTAAACCCTGACTTCATTCAATACAGGCACACTATCGGATTCTCATCAGATAGAAGGGGAGCGCATGGATTAATGCACCTTGGATTAATAGAACATGAACACTGTGCTGATATGTGTGTATCTGTCTAATGTATATTAGTCCAAGAGGCTGCCTCTCATCTGCCTTCCTACTGTATTTTTCTGTGAATTTTAACATTTTATTTAAATGTTGGAGAAGATAAATCCTCCCGGATACCTCGTGAGGACCCTGGTTCGTTGGTTAGCATAGCAGACAGTGTGGTGAAACAAAGAAGCTCTATATTTGCCCCTTTTGAATAAAGGTCTGAGGCAGGGAGGGATTTTTTCTATGGAGGATTTATCCTGCTGTTGAACAGATGTGCTGGAGGTTGTATGACTGCTGGGTCCCTCACAGTTCCCTTTACATATGCAGATGATTATGCTTATCTTCAGCCATTATCAGGAGCCAATAAAAAGCATGCCATAGATGTCACAAAAATTAGCTCTCATGATAACTCAAGCCAAGGGAAACAGAAAATTCAGATTTTCCTGATTCCAATGGCATTCAATATCTAGGCAACACATAACCAGTGACCTCAGAGTTGTTGGAATGTTGTGAGAAATACACAAACAAACACGTTGGCTTGTAAATCAGGGAAGTTTACAGCATCTGGAAAGACTTTTGTTCCGTATCATACATTAACTCGTTACTGTACAACATATTTACATTTTATTCACATTTTCTGAACTAATCTGCCTGGCACTGCCTGGCTGTAGGGGGTCACGGTATTATTGCTCATTATGACCATCCTGAGCTGTTTGCTTTCTGATTGATTAATTGATTAATTGATTGATTGGTTGATTGATTGATTGGTTGATTGATTGATTGATTGAAAAGCCATACTTGAATCACGCCTATGTCTTTAAATGAGGGAGAATTCTAAACTCCAGAGCAACTTGAATTTTGTTATTACCTAAATATTGAATCGTGATTTAGTTGCCTTTCCTTACATGATGAACTCATTTAATGGGTGTTCAAGTCAAACATCCAAACAGGATTTGTTCAAACCTGATGGAGCTTCTAACAGCAAGCTGCATGAAAACAGCTGAAGCTCAAACAATGACTGATTATCTTGCAGATGAGCCTCCCCTCTAATTGAGATATTTTGCATCCATATCTGTTGACCATGGACTAACATCCCTCACCTGTATATGAAGGAAGCACTATGCTGGTTTTGAATGGAATAAGCTGAGTAAATGTTCTGTTTTCAGCAAAGCTCTGCTGACTTTACCTTTACGTTGTCTGGGTGAAGCCCTCCGGGGTGTTTGTCCATGTATTGACAAAGGTCTGTATGCTGAAAAGAAAAAAGCAAATACAACTTCATATTACTACACGGGCTTTAAAGGAAAACCGTGTTTTCAGACATGGGTTATGCTGTGAATGCAAAGCTGAGCGGCACAGCTCTGTGTGTCATGATGTAAAGAGTGGAAACCATCAGCGGGCAGAGTTTAGCATCCGTACTACGGCCAGTCCTGACTCATCTGACGGGCTGTCAGATGCTGATCGCGGCTCTGCCCCTCACTCTGGTGCATTTGTGAGCAGATTTGTGGATGCTACAGTCAACGGCTCAGAAATCCCACACATATTTATAATCTCCCACTGCTGCCGCACCAGCGGGGCCTGCTGAATTATTCACACAGACATGCCTGTCCGTCTTATCAAATACCAGGCTCTCCATCTGTTTCCATCGCTCGCCTCTTTATTTCCATCTCTATCCCTCTACATTACACATCACTCTCTGAACCTGTCGGTTCTCCCTCAGCTCTGTCTGCAGGCCACTCTCCTCCTGTCAGCTGCCATTAGCCCTGAGGGATAACAGTGTCAGGCCCTTTATGGAAAAAGGTGTCCAACACAAGGTCACATCAACCTGGGAGAAACATTCTAACCCAGCAATGGAAAGTTTAGATCTGACCATCAATAATTAGCTTAACTACTTTAAAAGTGTGTAGTTTCCTGTAGCAAAAGGACTGTGTTGTTTCACAAAAATATACTGGATTAAGCCAAAGGAGTGAGTAATCAGGGAGGATTCAGCGTGAAAGATTAACTGCTCATCCTCTTCAACTCATGGGCTAAACTGGTCCGTTCTCTTACTTTTAATCAAAAACAACCTGCTGAACTCTCCTCAAAGCCTCTGACGGGTCTTATCTACCAACAGGGGGCATCCCTCTGCCTGCAGTCTCATGGAAACGAGTGCAGCTGGTGAGCCGAGTGAGCTGCTGGAGAGATCTGAGAGATTTGGTTTAGCTCAGCACATCAGCATCAAAGCCCAGGCGGAATACAAATGAGACCCCAAAACCTGCTTCTCTCCGTTCTCTTAAAGTTTGTGGGACACTCCAAGAATAGGGACTAACCATGTTACAGGGATGGGACGTGTGTGATGGTGCTGGAAAAAGTCTGATTTAGTCTAATTTATCAGTCTAACTCCTAAAACATTTCACCAAAAAAACATGGGCTGTACTAATGATTTAAGATTAATACAAATTATCATGCAGATTAACTAATTAATCACACCAGTTTACAACTAAATAATGCTTTTGTATAAAAAAAGAACACCATATCCTCCTTCAAGGTGCAGAATAAAGTAAAGATGGGCATAGGTTTGGAAAACAAAACATTGTAAAGTGAGACAGACTACATCTGTCAGGGTGCTGTGAGTCCTGTTCAGGCTTATTACGTCCCAAACACAGCTACCTGAACACGCAGTGCACTTACAGTACCCTATGATTAATCACTGTGCTGACAGGCTGCTGAAAGATCACCTGGTGATCACCTCATTTTTGTGGCTGTGGCTTTTCTAAACTGCACTTCAATATCTTCCAGTAGACTTTACCTCCATGAACATGCATTAGGTCAACATACTGGGTATAAATGGAAGATAAGATAACATAACATGCATTCCTTCCACTCGTGAATTTTCAGTGCAGAGTTGATAGAATGAAATACAATAGACATACTGAAACTGAATTTCCCTAAAAAATATTTAAGATCATTTATCTGTTCAGTAGCCAGCAGAGCCATGTGGAAACAGTTATCTTCCAGTAAACTGACCTTCTGGCTGGCTGTTGCAGGCACATATAGATTAGCCTCAGATTTATCTGGTTATTCCAAAGATTAGATTAAAAAACATGTTTTTTTTTTGTTTATCTTACGTGTTGTAACCCAGAAAATATATCCATGCTTATGCCTGTGTGGCAGCTTGTATGTTGAAACGCTGAACGCCATTTTTTAAGCATGTATTTACAATAAAGAATTACAAACAGACTGAACACTGATTGCTATAAAAAATTCTGGCCTTATTTCGTGTTGACACTTAAAAAACACATTTTTACTAAAATTTTAGACCTTTATGGTCCAGCAATGGACCAAATGAGCGATGGCAGAGTGTAGACTCACCACATATTCAAAGACCAGGGTCAGGGTTTCCTTGGTGTGAATGATGTCGTGGAGGAGCACGATGTTGGCGTGTTTCAGGCCTTTCAGCAGCGACGCTGCAAGTGCAGAGTACAGAGTTACAGAACGGCCGAGCGAAAAGCAAGAAAACAGAGCTTGTTTTGATCATTAGCTGCTTTTCAGAATGCCTCAGTGCACACGGGGAATTAGGAGAAGATTAAAGCACACGGAGAAAATACAGGCTAGGGTTATCCCTGGAAGTTCTCACACACCCTCGTTAAGACGTTTGGGAGGCATGAGGCATCCTTAATTAGCTGAGTGAGTGAGATTTCAGAGATGCTGAAACCTCCCATTTATAATGGTCAATGGATCTTTGTGGGATCCAAACATTCTCAGGCACAGTTGTCAAGTTTCAATCTGAGTTATACCAAGAAGACAGTTCACAGTGGTCATCCTGAACCTTTTGATGGTGTAGTTACAGATTCAGCACAAAGCCATCTTTTAAAACTCTTATCTGTAGTTTAGGAAGTAATTCCTGTATGTATGTGAGCATATATTCAATGTATATTTAATATATTTCTGCATAGTGTTTAATCTATTGGAGCGTAAGTGAAAATATTCTTGGATAATTATGTTTTTTCTTATTTAATCTTAGCTTGTCTAAAAAAAAAAGAAAAAAAAAGACAATTTCAAACTGATCTTTTCCATAATCCTCTAGAATTATAGCTAAATCCTTACAATAAATACACCCAGATCTGTGATCACTGAAATCAAAGAAAGCAAAAACTAAATGATGTAACGTCTGATAGGAAAGAAAAATCTAATTTGGTTTCTCTGAACTGCTGAATTAAGTTATCAAAGTGGGTGACTTCAGGACAAACGTTAAACTTAGTCTCCTCTACTGGTCTTTTTAAGAAAATACTAAAGTTTGTCTTTTAACAAGGCAAAGTGCACAGCTCTTTATCCTGTAACTCTGAGGGAGTATTTCACCCAGACACGATGGGGCAGCAGTTCCTGTTTAGAAAAATGTAAAGTTTAGGGTTACAAAATTTCCTATTCAAGGCCATAAGTCATTTTGAAAGCCAGATCCTCATTAAGAGACGCTGCCTTCTTAATACATTCCTTGCATTTGAAAACCAAACGGTTGTTAGAATAATAAAAAGAGATCAAACTCCTCTGTAAGCAGGAAGAAGAGGCCGTTCCTCACAGGCTCCGGTCCTAACTAATGGCCACTGAGGGAGGAGTGGAATGCTGGGCACATCTCTGAGGCGGGAGCTTCTCCTTTGGAACTGCTGAATTAGTTCAATTTCAAAGTGCCTCTCTGATCTGCTCACAGGGAGACTGTGTGCGTCCATGAGTGTGTAGATGCCACATCATCAGGCCAGCGGATCAAACAGAAACCATGTCAGCTTCTGAAAGTGTAATGGAGCGGGAGGGAAGATGCCTCCATTATCTCCTCCTTATCTGAGGAGGAGTCATGGAGGCCACCGGTTCAGAAGGGGAACCCAAACATTCTCCGTCTCTTCCTGGAAGCATGTATAAACACGCTTGTGCTGCCTTGGAGCTAAAAGTCAATTGACCAGGATGCATTCTGACCATGCACCTCAGCCACTCCAGCTCCACTCTGAGTTGTGTCCAGATGGCCAGGCTCCTCAGCCCATCTCTAAGGCTGAGCTCAGCCAAAGGAAACCCAAAGGAAATGTGTTCCGGCCCAGTGTCTCCGCTCATTCCTTCAGAGCTGGAGCAAAGCTGTAGGAGCATGCTGAGAGCCCCTACGGACTCATTACAGCTGACCACCCCTCCCTCACCGTTACCTGCTGGGGTCACCTCACTCACTGGAGAGAGCTCCAGCACAGAGGGAATCAGAAAGAGACTGGGTTTTTTTTTATGACCTTTTCCACCAGGATGTCACACTTTTGTGGATTTGTGAGTGTGGATCCTGTTTGCATTTAAATAATGTGTCCACAATAGACAAGGAAAATATTTTCCTCCCACAAATGCTAATAGTTCGGATGGATTTTCCCTCTGATTATCAAGGATTAGATAAAACGACCATATAATGAAGAATTGAAATATAAAGCATTTTTCTCTCATCCTTGACCTGATCATCCTCATCCACATTTATTGTTAAAGCCAAAACTCAGCTCATGGAACTGCTGTCTTCCTGGTCATTTTGAAACATGCTGTGAAGTTCCTTACCTTCCCTTATGGCTGTGAAGGGCGTGCCCTCCTCCTCCTGCAGACGGATCACCTTAAGAGCCACCAGCTTCCCGTTCACTCTGAAAACAGCACAGAGCACACAACGCTATTCTGGTGTGCCAAGTCAATCAAACAGTTCAGTTAAAACATTCGTTTAGCAGAGGTGGAGTGAGACTCGTATCCAAACCCCCGGGACTACAACTCATTACACTCAGCAAAAGAAACGATTAGAACTAAGAACCACACAATCAACCATCAGAACTGAGACATTCTGCATATTTACAAGATGTAAACTTTAAAAATGTGGAAATGTAATTGAGAAAACCTGAGAAAAAGCACCAAGCCATTAGGCATGGAAGATGACTGTTGAATTACGGAGTAAAAACCTCCATACAACAATAACATGACAGTTTGAGTCAGTATTCCTTCTCCACAGACAGAAGAAGCCCCATTACACAGAGTTACACTGTTAGTTCTCTCCTATTGAACTCAGTCATTCAGGGCTGCTTTATCACTCATTTCCCAGTTCCACGGCATGGTTGGCTAAAAGTGACATTACTTACTTGCTCTTTCCTTTGTAAACCGTCGCATACGAACCCTCTCCCAGCTTTTCCAGCTTCTCATAGGAATCGGCCTTTCCAAATTTGGGGCTTGTAGGCTAAGGAGAGAGAGGAATATCAGAAAGTAATATGAACAGACAATCCAGTAACCCAGAAGAGCAAAGCATCAGAGGACTTAAGAGAAGACATTAGAGTTCTATGACAGATATTAAATTCTGGAGGCTCCCCACTATCATCAGAACAGTGTTACATCAGAGGAGTACAAAGTGTGCACTAAGTGTTTTCTAAGTATTCATTGTCTAACTTTATCAGCTGATAACCTCCTTTTCTCCACGCAACATATCATTATTAAGACATAGACTTATAAACAACCCCAATGTGTTAAATATGTTATATGTGGTAAAGAAGCCCAACTATTTTATTTCTCCTATCCATTTTATGCACTGAACGTATTGTCGTCTGTTTGAGGATCTGCAGAGGTGTGTACTTTTACCAGGGCTGTCATATTTGAACTGTGTGGAACATAAATAAGATGAGCATCTTGAACCCTAAAGGGTAAAGAGTACTAATGATGAATAATAACAAACTTGACAAGTTTTCTCATTTACAAGAATCTTAAACAGCAAAAAATAAAAAAAATTAGACTACACATTAAAGTAAAATCAAAAGGAACTCCAGGGGTAGATATTCAACTATTACCATGACAAACCCACTGCTACACAGTCTAAAGGTTTGCTGGTTTTACTGCAGCAGCAGTAAAGGGAACCCTGATCATTGTATTAATCTGGACAGATATGTACACAAAGCAATGCCTGGCTGAACAGAAATCTTTTTATGATTGGAATGGTTTTTATTTGATCCGAGATGGATAACATCACGGCAGAAACAGTTCATTAGTGTGTCTGAGCAAAGCCGGCAGCAGTAAGTCAGGCTCCGTTTCACACTTATTAAAGCTCATATGGGAGCATATTCATTAGGCCTTTCACATTTGGTGCTAAATCAAGCTCTTCGCAAACACCATTCAATTAACGCAGTGAAAAAAAAGCCTCAGGCAGAAAAACCAGTCTGATGGAGGAGGGAGAACAGCTCAAACATCTGGAGGGTACCTGCAATTCTCACTGCACAGTTTAACGAGACTGTTGATTAAATGTGTTTTTAGACAACTTTTTGTGCTTTTTTTCCTGAGATTATTAAAAATGTTAAAATACATTAAGTATAAAAATTATTTTCACTTGGAAGTACAATTGTAGAAATTCAATATAATCTCACAGAGACTCTGTCAGACACTGCTCGTTCAGGCAGATTTACAGGCAGCCCTTTCTTCTGGGGGACAATTTTGCTCTCATTGTGAAAAGTGTGTTTCTGTGGTCATTTCATGACTACAAACGGTCTTTTTGCTGCTGTCTGCTGCCATTTTGTGTCCATTTGAGGTAGTACTGGATGCCTTTATAGCCTCTTTGGGGCTGTTGCATCACTCGATCATTGTGAGAAGTCCTAATAAAGAGCTAGCAGGGACATCAGGACAGAATTATTATTTTTTCACCAAGAAATGACTGCAGGTTACATGATATCTCTTTATAATGCATTAGTTAACTAGAGACTTATAAATCTCTCTAAAAAGCGGAATGACCTCCATGGTGAACTGGGTTTCCATCAGCACCTTTAAAATCATGAATTTAAACACGATCATTCACTATTATCAGGTTGTTACTTGTTAAAGCATTATGGTTGCCTATATTTCCTTCCCCTTTGGAAGGCTCAGAGCAGCGGTTCTCCTCCATTACTGGGAAAGAAATTTGGGGTTTGGTGCTTTGCGAGCTGGGTGTCATCAAACACGGGCCAGGCCATAGCATCCCAAACAACCTGTGGGAGGCAAATCATGTCTCTGTGCTGCAGGGAAAGAATCTGAGTTGGTGTATTTGGTACCAACAAGATTGTGTTGGGTTCATCTAATCTCATCTCATCTCAAACTCTAGGAGAGAGGCTGGAGTCTGCTCTGGTGTTGTCTATGTGGGGAGGTACCAGGCCTGGGTCAGACAAGGCAAGGGTCACTTCAGTTAGTCAAAGGAGGTAAGCTTCTGGTGTCCTGAATCATGTATTGTTCTTCCCTGAGACTTCATGCAGTCAATGATGAGGCGACATGAGTAGCAGTATATGTATATTTAGGAGATACTGATGATATGAGTATTTTTGTTTTTGGACCATAATTATTATTTACTATTTACGAGCAATGGATTATCCATCACAGACAGGATTCAGGCATGATGTGGGTCATAAGTGCACCTGCTACCAGGCTACTTAATGCCAAGATGCAAAGTTAACTTTGTAGTTGTGCCATAACACCATGTCCTTGTAGAGTGGGCAGAGCTGTCTACCAGTTCCTCTGGTAATTAGCTGGATCTGTTGATGATGAAGACTGTTAGACTTAGTCTTAGTAAGGGTGGGTTAGGAATGTCTGGTGGAGGACCTATCTGCAGGGCCTCCATTCACACTTTTAGAGAATTATTTACCAGAGAACTGTGTTCAGGGCCTCCACAGAGCTGCTCCTGTTCTGGCAGCGCCTGCAGGAACTGTCAATGGATGCCAGTGATGAAAGCAATGGATGTTTCATGATATCAAAAGGACATTAAAACCATCTTCTCCATCTTCATGCAGCACACTCCCTGTATGGCCCAAGTAGCCTTGAATATCTCCAAGATTGGTCAACTTAATAATGTTCAACCTCCAGAAGATTTCTAGAATCCTTGAAACATATGTTCTACACTTGCATAACCAACACAATCTTTCAGTGTCAACTACGTTAGGTAGTTGCAAAATTCTGAATATTGAGTTGATGAACATGCTTCTCCCTTGAAGACACAGTGTCTCCATATCCAGACCTTCAACCTTGAAATTATCTGACAAAATGGGGATCAGTATTGAAGCAAAATATCTGATTAGGATCAACATGTGCTTTGTATCTGTTGGTAGCCACACCTCACAGTTCTCCATTCCAGGTTTCTTAACTGCCTTCCACGGATAAATCTGAATTCTTCAATCCAGACAACATCCAGAGATTGAGAGCTTTGACACAACTCTGGTGGAGCTCAGCTTGCTAACATCCTTAGGGGTGTTCTACAACTGCCCCTCTCCCCACAGCTGGCTAGACAGACAACGATGGGAAACTGTGCCCTCATGCCACTGTTGGCTGTCTGTTAACGACTGTGAAAGAGCAATAGAAAATCTTCTGGCTGCAGCATTACACATAAAAATCCTATTAATTAGTCCAATAGAGGTAATCCTACTTCTCACCCTCATGATATTCATAGGTGAAGCGATCAATTTCATCAGGAGACCCAGTCTGATGAAGGCAATTTCTCTCAATCTTACACGCTGGCTGGTAGACGGAGGCATGGGACTCCGAGAGATTTGATTGGATATCAAAGGTTCCTGGAAAACCCAACTACCTTGAGACTAATTTGATATTTGAAAAACTTTGGAATTTCACCAGGCTTGCAGTACAGAGTAGTAGGATGATGCAAGTTCTGTAAAATCTACATTATGAGACTGTATCTAGAGGAGTTGACCCAGCTGCCTGGTCATTTCCACCAGTATGGACTGAGTCGTAGAGAGTCCATGCTCTTCTGCTCACACTTTTTCCTCCACTCCCTCCCATTGGCAAGAAGGACTGAACCATTTGTGGTTCATAAAGCTAAAACTTGAGTGTTGGCAACATTTTGTGAAACCGTGGAGAGAAACGTTTGGTTGAGGGGGGCTGAGTTGAGTTGTTTTAATGACTCATCCAGTCATGTGACTCCCTGACCAATCAGCAGTCTGCTGTCTACCACTGGCCCAACTCAGGCCGAAGGAAACCTGGCAGGTAGGGTCTAAAGGTATATATGTGTGGAGTGCCTGGTGAAAATAGTGGAACTAACCCAACACACTTTTCAGGATTTGGGGCCATTTATTGAATACATTAAGAATTAATGTAAATATAGCAGGTCATTTCACAAAACTACTTGCATTGAACATCATGCTCTCACTAACAGGCCTAAACCTACATTACTTTGATTGACAAATTCTCTCCTGAAACTCCAATGACCATGGCGTTAGCCTCAAAGCAGACGGACAGGAGATCTGTGAGCAGACTCACAATTGGTCCTTTTGGCAGGTATTCTGATTTGAATAGTTGATAACAAAGAGGAAATATATAAAAAAAAGGAGGAAACAGTTTGAAAAACAGAAAAATGTTCACCCCCCATCAAACCTCGGAACTGGAGGCAGTGTTTCCATAGAAACGCCGGCGTAGCTGCCGGCTGCTCTGTCACGCATTGTTTATCAAACAGAAGTGACTGCTCATCAATGCAGATGGTGTTTGCTTTTTTTTCATGTGCGTTTCCTTCTGTTTCGGCTGAGATACTCAATACTAGTTTCATTTGGTCACTACTGGTTCAGAGAGAAATAGAAACTTAATTGATCTCTATGGAATTCAAGACAAAGGTGAAGGACTGTAGACCATGTCACTTTCAAAAGCCAGTTCACACACTGACATTGACAATGCTACTTTTGTTTTCGGATATAATAGACATGCCTCTTCTTCATTTTGCATGAAGAAATTGTAAATCCTCTAAAGATATAAAATAAGCTTTAATTCAGATGACATGTGGCTGTGGTATCTCGCCGTCTTCTGTTTAACAATGTAAAGAGAGTGTTTCTGAAACAGTGCTTTTAATATCAACATTTGTAAGGGTAGAGAAAATGGATGGATTGAAAAATTAATATTCTACCACGCTCTCAAACGCTGGATGAAAGTTTTTAATACTGAATTAATTTGTAATATTTATATGAAACTAGGTATACAACCATCCCATACACAGTGACAGTGACACAGGTGTAACAAACTATGGGTCAAATTAACCTGTGGAACATTATAGGTCTTTGATATTTGGTGGTGGTAGTTGTGAACAATATGAAAAAGATTGTTTGGGTTTTATTTTATAACTCACTAGTTATACTGTGCATAATTGTGTTAGTGACAAGTAAAAGTCTTAAATGTTGATCTGTGGTTTTCTAATGTTTTCTGATTTCATATGTGATGTAGAATAAATAACGTACAAAACAGAAATAGTTGTTTTATATGAAAAAATTATATAGTCCAACAGAATTTTTCATGCTTTGTGTTCGTTTTCATTATTTTGAGTTTTGCAAAGAAGTCAGAACAAGCCTGACCTTCATATAAAAGTTCTGGAGATTAGCTTGATATGACCTTTGGATTGGAGTTATGGTTATGTGCATTTTTCATTATAGAAAAATCAATAGAAAATGTAGAATAAAGCATAAGTTTTATCTTTTAAAAATATAAATATTCAACACCCTAAAAAAGAAGCATGGAATAAAGAGAAAAATCAATTTCCCCCAGCAGAACATTCAGATTCTTCAGTTTCTTCCTGTTTAAACTACATATATTCAGTCAGTGTGGGTTAGAACAACCCTAACCCTAGTTCACTACTTGGTATGACCAGGTATTGTGGAATATCTTAGAAATATCTATTTCTAAAGTGACCAGAATAGAGGCCAATTACAACAATCCAGCAGAGACACACGGGTGTAGCAGCTATTGCCTTTTCACCGGGGCTGTTTCAGTAAGAAGCCTCCTCTTTGCTTCACTGCTGTGTCGCTTTGCTGATAAAAGCAACCTTTGACTTACAGAGAATGATATGCTTGAAGGATTTTTACCGTGACTAAGGCTTCCCTCGCACTCAGGATGAACCACATTAAAGAAGTAATCACATTTCGACCAGCACTGTGTTGGTTGCGTTCTGTTACACAAATCCATGCATCACACCAAAACATCCACACATAGATGACTGCACAAACACATGAAACGAGGCACTTCTTACGCTTCACATTGGATGGTGCATACAGATATTTAGTTACCTCGAATTACCTAGAACTCACTAGTTATGATTTGCATGGTGCATCTTCTTTTCTTTGGTCTAAATCTGGGCTAACAGCTTGAATGAATAGTGATGAGGTGATACTCACAGAACTGGGGCTGGAGTGCCGGCGCAGTTTGGGCGACTCTTTTCCAGAAGACGAGCTCTTAGCGTTGATGCAGGCATTGTTCTCAGAGTGGACCCTCTTCACCTGGCTGGCCGGCTTCTCGAAGGGGTCAAAGCCACTCTGCGTCCGCTGAACTCTCACCTTCTTGTCCTCAGGGATGGTGTCCAGGGGCTTGATGACAGAGTCTGTTCCCTGGCAGCTGCGTGTGGACATCTTTGTGACACATATCTGTCAAAAAGAGAGGTGAAGATAAAACAGGCGATGAAGAAAAAAGGCCGTCTGTTATTGGCCGTGTGCAGCCAAAAGCAGCTCCAGCTGAATCATCAGACTCTGGAGCTTTCCGTCCCCGCAGAGCCTCAAAGCTACCTCTGAGCAAAGTCCTTTTTTCTGTCTCCATCTTTCAAAACTGCCTCATTCAGCTCTGACACACACATATTCACACCTTTCTACCTTCTCCATGACACACATCTGCACAGTCAGACCATTTTGCATACAGGACGGATATTATCCCCAACATGCCAGTCAGGAAAAGCCCCCCCCCTTAATCCGTGTCTATATTTTGACCACAAAACACCTTACCAAGGGCTCCTCCACACTGGACTGTGTTTGTTGGACATAAAAGACCCAGGTGGCATGACATGTTTTGCTCCCTGAACATTAAATATTCAAGGCCGGGCTCCCCTGCAGGAAGACCTAATTACTCTAATACATGAGGAGGAGTCATCTTGCTCTGCGGCTTCCTCTTTAACATGCGCTCGTTGTCACTGGATCCAAAGATACATTACTCACTACACAGGTTGCCTAAAAGTACAATGTGTGGATCCTAATCAAAGCCAGGATTGCTGATTCTCATGGTGTGAAGCATATGAATTACACAGCCAGGACGGACAGAACTACCATTATGCAGTGAGGATTTTTTAGAGCCCCTTCAGATTTTTGTCAAATTCAATAATCAAAGGAAACAAGCCAAACCCATTTGTCTAGCAAGGGATTTAGTATTCCTTTAATTAACAAAACTATCAAAAAAGTGGCCATTGTAAGACACAGGGCATCAAATTAGATAAAACAAATAAGAGGCCTGTTGTTCCACTAGGCCCAGTTCTGACCAATCCCCACGTGAGCAAACGTTTGCATGGATCCTGAATCAATTCAATCGATAGCCCTTGTGTGTGTGAGAAGCCAGAGCACCAAAACAATTACAGAAGAGCTAAAGAGGACACTGGTGGATAATTCAGAAGAACTGGGATGGGAGGTAGAGAGTGAACAGAGATTAGTGACAACACACTGCTAGTAGAGGCGGAATGGAACAGGTGTCAGCATGTCAAACAGAAAGGATGGAGGATAAATGATGGAGTAACATCATCACACAGCAGAAACTTCCTCCGTTAGGCTGATGAGACTCAGTTCTATCCATCTCAGAACCCTGGACAAACAAAGCAGTCAGCAGTTCCACTCCCAGCTTTTCTTAAAAAGGACTGGAAGAATCTGAATTTCCTTCAACTGACATAGATTCTTCAGACCCGAGAACCTCAGAGAGGAACTATCTACAAATATATCTACTCTGAGGTGCACCTTTTGTTAGCAGAAGAAATGTTCAGTCATCTGAATATTGAGTCTTTTTTGCCAAATAATTGGCAAACCAAGAGAGGCAGCTTGTTTGGAGGTGTTCTTCTTGAAGAGAATTTCTAAGAGCCTTTGCTCCACGGTATCAAATGTCCCAACGAGCGATTCTACAAAATCCTTCAATTTATCAAACACCATTAAAAAAAAACAAAAAAAACATTAATTTTCTAAGTATCCACTTTGGAAGGCTCACCTCCTTTTAGCAGTGGAAGGACAAAGCAGACATTCAAACTTTAGGAAGCCTGTTCATATTAAAAATACAAATGAGAGGCTCAGCATTTAAGTTGGCAGTCGGCTTTAGGAAAAATGGAGCCAAACTATCAGGACCAGCCAATTATTGGGAGCCCAACATTTTTTATGCACACAACAGCCTTCAGAAATAGACACAGGTTAAAAATGAGCAACCAACCATTATTGTCTTACATCATTAGTCATATCACGATTAAATGAACCAAATCAAGAGCTCTGCTGTGATAGAATGTTCATTCAAACCATTTAACATGGAACCTTTATCAGTGATGTTTACACAATATTTGCACAAAAACATTCACTGGAAGACAGCTCCAGAAAAAGATCATCTTGGATCATTTACATTTTTGATGGTTTCAGTTCCAGATTGAATCTTCTTAACATAGGAGGTACATTTGATCTTAAACAGAAGCAGCTTGGATTGAAAATGATCCAATCAGGCTGTATTTGTGTTGTTCTTGCCTTGGCCCAGGCTTAATCTCCATCTTCAGGGATGTTTCCAATTTCCAATGTAATATTTCACCCTTTTATCCAAACCTGCAGAAGGGTTATGAACAAGGGCTTATTGATTGTGCAAAACAGCTTGCTCATGAAAATGTTCCAAATCTGATTTTCAGTAGAATTTGTGGTTGAGTTTGGGGAGTTTGGGATTTTTATTATGAGATCACAGAGCAGTACATAAACAAACAAACACTCATTTAGGAGCCACACACTACAGGATATGAATACTTGATGATGTGAGATGGACGTGTGTTCCAGGGATTCTGTGTCAGACAGAACAGGGGCAACAGGAGTCTCTCTGCTATGAGAGATACAAGTTTCCAACCCCCCAAGAGATGAAACTTACTGTCTTACCGCACTTTAAAAATTAACAAATGACACCAGTCAGTGGAGTGGATTTAGTCATTCGAGTAACACACACTTTCAGTCAGCAGCGGCCGGGGCGTGGAACCAGCAGCTTCTGCTCTCAGGTAGTCCTATCAGCATAAATAGACCATTACTGAACTTATGAAGGTTAACAACCGATTATCCTCCCAGCTAACTGATCAATTAATTGTTGGTCTGTCTTTAAATTGTGTCTAGAAGCTGATAAAATAACTAAACAAAAGGTTTTTCCTTATCCCTTTTTCCAATTATATTTAGGTTATTATTGTATATTCAGGTTATTAAAGTAAACACAAGATCACCGGCTTGGTATTTTTACTAGTTATTTTGATAGCATTTATTTAAATCCCAATTTCACTCGCAGATATTTGCATATTATGTTATTAAGTTGACATGTTTAATGCTCACAGTTTGGTTCTGCTCTGTTGTCATCCATTTGATGTCATGTCACTTTGTGTCTGTGCTGACATTTTTATTTGAAATACAGTAACTATGATACAAGTCAAGTCTCATAAAACATTTAAAACAAAACACAGGAGTTGTACACTTCTGCCTGCATGAGGGACGTAAACTGAACTGACATTGTTCTCAGCTATTGTGGCATTTGACATGTTACTACATGACATTTGTTCTTGCCAGTAAATTGCATAAAAACCCGTGTCCTTGTGACAAAAGGTTGACAAAGTGGAAGCCCTCCCGAAGCAGCCCAGCAGAAGAGGAGCATCCGTTCCTCTGATGGGGAGGAATGGTGGAGGAAGTTAGGCAAACTGCCAACTGTTTCAGACCACCTTTTCCAGTATGGAACAGGAGATAAAAAAGTGTAGAATCCTTGTAATAAAAGTGGGGATGTGAGTTAAAGCAGTGGCTCTCTCCTGTAGTAAAGATTGTAAATGACCACTGTAGTTTTATATATCGTGCAGACTAATGAATCTAAGACATTTTCAGGTGAAAGTGGTCAGAACATAGTGCCCACTATGACTTTAAGAATGTCATGGATTAAGATTATGAATGGAGTGAATGGTCTCTGCCTGATTCCAGCACCCGCCCGGACTGTCAAGAGGTCAAAGGTAACAGCGTCTCTCTCTTTCATTCACAGAGAATTATTACTTAAATACTTGTGACTGCTGAGGACTCGCTGGTGCACAGCTCTCACCGCGGATAAAAGGGAGCTGGTGGATACAGAGCAGGACTTACAGCGAATGACTACTGACAGCAGAAACGTTCGGCTGCTGGAGGCACAGTTCAGAATTAAGACTTACATTAGCAGCACGCCATTCATAAATCATCAGACCTGCTATTAAATCCAGCTATATGCTACTCATTCTCAATAGGCAATTATCCTGCAGTGAAAACCATGACTAACTATGTATTATTTTAATGGGCAGGTTCATGCAAAGGATCAATTCTCCCAGTGTGCAATAGGCTGATGGTTTTCCTACATTTACAAGAATGAATGCCCCACCAAGACTAGACAACCCAGATGGGCGCAATTAAACCCCGTTTAGTGGGGCTGAGGTATTACCTCTGCAGTTCCTGCCCCCTGCATCACTCACACACATGGACACAGAGGATGGATGGCCTGTCCACCCTGCACACTGCAGCAGGGACCCGCCCCCCCCCCCACCAGGAACACCTAAGATTCACTGAACTTCAGGCTGTCCCACTCTGATGAAGGATGTGGGTAGTTACCCAGCAGGCAGGCCCCGGCTAATTCAACCATCTCCAGAGGGGCAGTTACTGACGGCATTAGCTTGAATGATGACAAGAAACACAGAGTCCATAAAAGAGCCATTAGCCATAAAAGCTGTTTGGGTGCCGCGTTAACCTGGGCTGTGAGCGGAGCTAACTTAGCCCCGCTCACCCGCGGCGTGATGCATTTCCATCACAGCGAGACAAAGCGGAGATATCTGCTTGCCTGAGATCATCAGTCTGGGCTCAAGACAATACACCAGCAGGGAGACGGGAAAGAGACACCTCATCCTCCTCACTGTCTGCACAGGTCTTTGTTTCAGCACAGAGTGTGTGTGTGTGTGTGTGTGTGTGTGTGTGTGGGGTGCCTTTGTTGGGGCCTACTGACAAAGTTTTCCTCTACGTGTGTGTGCAATAGGAATTTAAGCACTAAACTGGAGAAGAAGCACTTAAATAATGACTAACAGACAGAAAGCAGATGCCACTGGATGAAAAAGCCTAATATATATATATATATATTTTTAATACTGGCTAGATATGGGAGGCAGTGTGGAATATCCTGAATATATTTGTTTCTCCAGGTGAATGATGACAAACTGATCACTATGCAGTTTCAAGTGTTTTCCGTAGGGCGGTGAAATGCAAATAGTGACTGAAAGTTTTCTGTGCAGATCATTTAATGCTCTAATTTCAGATGCATTCATGCAATCAAATAAAGGTGATGGAGCTTTTTCACAGATAAGAGAGAAACAGGCTCCTAAAAATCATTTTTCCTGGCAGTGACGGAAGTGAAAACATTTTCATTTCACTGAACTTGGAATTTGTTCAAGACTGAAATGCTGAATTATAAAATGTCACAGCACAACGCTGGCTATTTCTTCAAACATTGCGGAATCAGAAAAAATACTAACATTATTACCACAACGATGAATGCTGACAGTATCACCGTCACTGCTAACACTTAGATAGAAATATCTGAAACAAACCAACAATGTGTGAAACCATTAAAAGATTTCATTATAATTCTACATTTAAAACACACTAATAATTGCTAACAAATTTAATACTTTGCTAACCATCTTTATCCACAGCTCATGATAAAAACTCTTCCCTGTAATCACCTCAGACAGACCCGGCTCAGCCTGTGTTCCATCGGTTTGACAAGCCCCCGACCTCTTGTTAATAAACCCCGTGTTCATATTCAGCTTCACATTCTGACTTGAGCCGGACATTTTTCCCTCTGCTTCAGTGGGAAAAATCAACATCTGTGAACAGTTTTTCTGACCGATGCCATGAAATGACATAAAGAAAGAACGTGGCATGTTAAGAACTTTCTGTCATTTGCTTGGGATGTGAGGATGAAAAAGCCTAATATTTTAATTTATTTTTGCATCTGAGTTTCAGCAGCAGCTGAACATGCAAACAATAAAAAAAAAAAGTTTTTCATAAATAAAAAATCAACATAAGATAAGCATAGCTATTTTAAATGTCAATATAGTGAATGTATTGTGTATCGGTTCTTAAGTAGCTGCTTTCATACAGGTAGACAGAAATATGACCAGTTGATTAAAGTCTTAATTTATTCTGGAAATGATCTGATGAAATACTGTAATCTACTTCTTGGAACACGCTGATGTTTCTGCTTCCTTTGGCTCAAAACCAATGGGATTTTTCTGCAAGTCACTTAATGAAATGAAGGAACATTATATTATGCAAATGTCTTTTGGTTTTCTGGCTCTTTATCATTTTGAATGCCCGTCTGAAGACATTATGGATGAGATGTAACTAGCCCATGGTGGACCAGAAACTGTCCCAGCAGCTGACCGAGGCCCAGGTAAAGGCTGTGCGTTCATGGGGGGGGGCAGATAGCTCAGGTGAGACTCCAGAAGCCCTACAGTGGTAGAACAGAACAACCTACACATCCCAGACCTGAATTCTTATGTAAAAAGCATTTAGAATCTGTGTGTTGATGGTAAAGCCACAACACGATTTGACCTGGTGTCAAATAAATGATGTTTGAGAAAACATCCCAAAACGTACTAGAAATTTATAACCCGGCACATAAAAGGCTCATGTTAAGGAGCTAAATGCAACAGCAGAAGGAGAACGATATGAAAACTAAGGAAATCTATCAACACCAACCAGGGACATCTCTCTGTAGAGCAAACCAAGCAGCGTGTGCTTAAAGAAGGAGGCGTGTGTCAGAGGTCCAGCTGGACCCTGGAGGACCGAGTGTTCCGGCCAGTTAGTGACTCAGCTGAGCCTTCTAATGCCTGATTAACAAGGCCTCGTTGCCTTTGATTAAGATTCAGGAGAATAGAGAGCCCAGACATATAAATTACAGAATTGGCTGGACTCCCGGCAGCTCTGGCTGCAGGAGAGCCACGCCACACCGGAGACCAGCAGCGGAGTGGTCAGCTGCCCACCTCAGCCAGCCTCTGTCCCTCCCAGTCCCCGCTGATAAAGGCCGAGAGCAGAAACGCAGTGAAAACACCCCAATAAACAAGAAAAAGTTGGGTCTTTGCAATAGTTCAGAGGGAAGTCTCCTCCCTCCAGACAAGCACTGCCCTGAGGTTTTATCACATCTTCTCACCTCTGACATCTAATGGAATGGAAAGTGTATTCCAGAGCTGGACTTTGGAATGTCTTTATTCACAGAACACAATGCAAGCATGGCAGTGTCTGCGTTCCATGTGATTTACAGACTGTAAATGGATGCAGAATTCTTTCCTGACTTAATGTTTACAGCTTTCTCGGGTTCCAGTGAAGCAAACATCTGCACTTGTATAATAAACGCCCTGATTCCCTCTCTGGTGATTTGTATCAGAGCACAATCACTTGTCTGGAGTCAGAGACCTTTCTGGTTTCCTCTCCAGGTCCCTGCACAGCATGAACTGTGCAGCAACCTCTGCAGGAGACACAAAGGCAGACCTCAACAGCATCCTGGAGGCCAGGTTTCTGTTTGCTCACAACCTCACAGTGATACATTATTGACTGGAACTACAGTCATTGACACATTTCCTGAAAACCGTTCCTGAATTAGCAGGTTCACTGGTTAAGTTCTACCAAAAGGAAGTGTAGAACTCAACCAACCGGTGACAACAAGCACAACAAGGAATGTTAGTGGTCCAGACATGAGGACTGGTGGTGCACGTTGAGAGGGAATGTGCACTCAGCTGTCATGGCTACAAGTTGATGTTGGACTAAAGGAGAAAAACTACAGCTGACAGCTCACGTCTCCCAAATGGACACCACAACCACCAACAATTCTGCTCATTTTGCTCTGGAAAAGTCTTGGATTGAAGCTAACTTAAGTGAAAATATGAAATATGAATGTTACTCTGTTGGTCCAGGAGTCAAGAATTGTTTCAAGTTCACTAATGATAGCATAATTAATCCAGTTAAGAGTGTGGAGAGACCAGGAGGGGAATTACCCTGCCCACGAACTCTTGGAAACTTATTCCAACCCTTTCTAGAAGGAGTAAAATGTAATCCACTGAAATGGACAGTAACATAATACCAGCCACTTTAGGCATTAAGACAATATTCATGCAGTCCTGAAAGAGGCCAGAGTCTGCTCATCTCTTTCAAACATCAGCCTTTCTGAGCACCACAGCTACTGATAGCAGTCCTTTCCCCATCTGTGGGACTCCTCTTCCTGTTGTCAGCTCCTTAACAGAGATGTTATCAGTGCACGTTCTCACAGTACATACAGGTCTGTGTGTCGGCTTGAGACGCTCACCGGTTCACAGGAAGAACTGTCATCCCGACACATCATTAACATGTTTAAACCCTGTTATGTCCATGAACCCTACCAAACCAGTGGCCACGGCGGCCTAACCCCGTCAGGCAGCCAGAGTCCAAACAAATAGAGGAAATGAGGGACAAGACAGATTTTAAACAATCGTGAACCAGGATTCCTACTTTTGTAAGTGTGTACAATTTCTTCAAAACATCCATTTCCACTCAGCAGAGTGGTCATCTCCTGGCCCACGTGCATGGAAAGGTGGGCATGGACACACAGGCTGTACCAGGAAGAGGAAGACCCAGGTCACAGGAGCCTGGCAGAGGCTCCAGACCTCTGCACCGTGTGTGATACCTACATCATTTTAAATCACCTAAACCGGTAGAGTAAAGGGATAAGGCTTTCTAGTTTGAATAGGAAACTCTCCACCAGGGCCTTTCATTTGTCGTGTGTGTGGGACTGAGTTTGGCTCTGCGTGCTGAAACTTATCCTCATTCCAACACATGACACTGATGCCAGTCCTCTTTAAGTCTGTCCTCATTCTCTCTGTTTTCTTATTTGTAACGGCGCTGCCGGCTGCACACGGCCCGGCTGAAAACCTCCCTACACCACACACAGTCACACACGCAAACGGCCTGTCCCCGGCTCCCTCGTCCTCCCCAGAGGACACATTCCGTCCCTAAAACCAGAAAAGAGTGTCCCAAAACGAGGTCCTGTAGTAGAAGCTGCTGCACCGGGGGCATTGGGTCCATTAGACCAATACACCCATTTCACCACAACACAAACGCTCGCTCAACAGAAGAATCTCACACAGATTCTTACTCACAGAAACCCCCTGCTTCTCGTCTGTGCTGTGTCTTTATCCTCTGAGCTCTTCATCACATCCCCCCTAATGAAGTGCACTGACACTCAAGGATTCGTGCACTTTAAGCTGGCAAGCTAGTGCGAGGACACACCATCACTCCCTCAGAAACAGCCCTCAGAGCCGTGGCCACGGCGTACCTGCAGACGGCATCCTCTCACAGCAGCCCGCGCGTCTGCTCTGACATCTGTGCGGATGTCTGAGCAACGCTGCTCATGCTCGTCCACACATCCACACACTGGGACACACGGGGAACACATCCACAGCAGGGGCAGGACAGAATGAGGATGAGGATGCAGGACAGAAACGAGCAGTGAGCCCGGCTGTCCTCTTACCTTCCAGGAGGAAACGGCTCACCTGGAATCGACTGAGGAGCAAACACAGCGCATTCAGGCCAACCTTTCTCCCTGCAAACCCTCAAAACATCTCCCTCCCTCTGTCACACACACACACACTCTCCCTTCCCTCTCTTCCGCTCCCTTCGTCGCTGGAAATGATCAGATTGTACTACATGCAGAGGGGGGGAGTGCAATCCAGGGAAGCGGAAGGCATTCTGAGGCTCCACGGCTTTTTGGCCACATACCAGCAAGACCGTGAGCTGACGGCTGATAAAGGAAGAGTGTTGTAGGGTCTGGGGTGTGGGTGGTGTGGTGTATCTGGTAAGGGGAAAAAAGCCTCCCGCTCGTCCTTAGAGGAAACCTTAGAGGCCCCTGTTCTGCTTTGAGATGGTACAGCCCAGAGGAGTTTAAGGAAGCAGAGAGTACCCCAGCAGCAGCAGCAGCAGCAGCTCGGGCTACAGGGATGAGTCTGTGTGAGTCCCAGCCTCACAGTAACCAGCATCCAGCGGCAAATCCTGGAAACCATCACTACATCCGGTTTCCTCGAAGAACCAGGAGCTGGATGGATTATGGCCAGGCATCTACATATGTCCAAGAAAACATTTCCCTGCCTCAGCAAACCAAACAAAGCAGGAAAAAAAGTAATTTAGGATGTGACACAATGAGTCTGTCTGCCATAGTTTCATCATAGAGCACAAATGAACAAATACAGTGTGAAAGTGGTAAAACAGGAGAGCAGAATGTGGCCAGCGGTTCCTCCAGAGAACCGTTAACACACTCATGAGCTGGTGAACGTTCTCCACAGAGGTGGTCGGTTCCTCTCAGTATCTGGTCACCTGACAGTGAACAGCCACTTCTACAGGACACTGTATGTGAATGTGTGCTCTGACAGCAGGAGAACTGGGAGCTACCTTATGGCAACCGGGCGCTGTCACCATGGTTACCCGTGCTCCATGCTCCAGAGGATGCGTGAGACTCCTGAAGACGCATGGCCTTCAATATAGAAGTGAATGAGTTGGTTTGTGGAGGAGCTGTTCCTCTTTACAGCTGTGGGGGAAGCCCTCTTTTGCTTTAAAGTACGATCTACGTTAACTAATGATTACCACACACATTAGGTGGAATATAGCTGAAACTTTAAACAGTGCAGTGTGTTTCATCAATGTTCCTGAGACACATTTTAGCTATTCCTGCTGTTCCAAATGAGAACATTCTGGTTTATGTTCCCCGCCAGGCAAGCGCTTATCAGCAACCTTTGAGGATACTTCTCTATATGGAAATGAACAAATTCTCTTTTAAATTGTTGATGCAATAAATATGCACATATGTGATGGGTGTGTAAGTAACTGATCCAAACTCTAATCAGGAAACAGAAACGATCTTACACTGATGCACTGATTTGGGTTCTTCATTTGGCTGTTGGGGTTTGTTAGCACCATCGCCTAACAGCAAGAGGGTTCTCATTCCCTGGAGGATCGGGGGGGGGGCTTTCTGTGTGGAGTGTGCATTTTTCCCTGTGTTCAATCAGGTACTCCATCTTCCTCCCATCATCCAAAAACATCATGAAATTTTAGGGTTTACAACTCTTTTCAAGGCTAACAGTTATGACTAGCTATGTTGTAGTAAAATAATGAAAAAATTTGAATTTGTACATTTGGCTGTTCTTGTCTTCTGCACAATGACTTGAATTTGGACTCCAGTTACATCCTTAGTACCAACAAAGTACCTGCAGAGACTTAATGAGCGTTAGTTTATGAATCATCCTCAAGGCGTGGAAGAGATGCGTTGGAACAAGACCTATCTGATTTATCTCAACTTACTGAGCTAACAGAGGTGGTACTGGTACTGGTTGTAACAGAATTCCTGTAAAGGTTTTTAGGAATTCAGAATGATTGTGTTGAGGTCCTACAGTGCTTATAGCTGATTAGTGATGGATGGTTAAAATGCATCAGATAAAGCAAAGAAAACAACAAAACACACACACACAGCAGAGGCTGGATACTGACTAATCAACTAAACATGTAAAAAACAAAAAACAAGACCTAGAAGTACAAAACCAGACAAGGAGACAAAACCTAGGGCAGGAACCAGGAAGGACGTGGCACTGACAATGAAGATGGCCAGGATCTGGAACCAGACAACGGGAACCAGGAACCAGAGGGGAAACCAGGAACAGGTGGACACAATCAGGAATTAGGGAACACTATCAGAATGGTGGCACAAGAGGAAGGGCAAGTTACCAGAAACAAGAGGAGAGTTATTATTTCAGAATAAAACAGGAAATGATGAGACCAAGTGAAACCAGGAGACACCATGAGAGACTATGAGAAACTGAGAGAAAAGAAAACCAAAAACCCCAGGCGTGACAATGGGTGGACGGATGGCTGGATATCATAACCAAAACCCAGTTGTTATTCTATTAGAATATCTTATGTCCAGTAAAGATGCTCATAGTTTCTCTGCCACTTTTACTCCAGTCTACCACGACTGAAACCGTGGGTATTCGGACTTCCTCAGTCCAAAAACGTTTGGACCCCGTAGGAGTGAGCGTGCGTGGGCGGGCGCCAGCGCCCCTGTGACTGTCAGCATGTGCGAATTGAAAATGGATGCGAGGCTTTTTCTATCAAAGGGAAACAATTAATGCACACAAGACAACTTTATGAACCCAATCGGACATCAAAATACATCGATATTCTCAGAGTCCACAGGGGGAAATTGCTTTTCCAAATCAAGCTGCACTGCATCATCAGTCAGGCTGAAATGACCCCCCTAACTGTTTTTCAGTGCTCATGTTTCCCCATCACTGAAAGGCTGGCGGCTACAGGAACCGCAGCATGTGTATCATATTGTGGTGATGCAGGAAGGTGTGAAATCCTCAGCGATACTGCTCTGATTGGATCTAAACTGGTTTGGATTTAGGGCTGCAATAATCCAGCCGTGATAGCCGCACAGAGGAGCATTTGCATTTAAACAGGATTTAAGCCTGTGAACACTACCTACAGCGCGTGTTTCTGTCTGTGTGCACGTGTGCGTGTGTTGGAGGTGATTTTGCCCGCATTACTAAATAATGAATAACTACACACACAAATGCGCACACACACTGTATTCAGACTACAGAGCAGGAGGAAACAATCAGTCAGCATTAAAGTAACACCTAACCATCTGGTAGCTGTACCTGTGGAGGGTGTTCTGAATAAGAATCAGTTAGAAATGTCTATAAGCCCTTTTTGACACGGTCAGGTCAAGTTCAGCTTCATCGAAGGAAAGGGATCATTCAGCCCGTGGGATGAGGGCTGTACAAAACACACTGCACACTGTACAAAAAAGCATGTAGTTTCCTTCCACAAGGAGAACATTCCATTACTCAGCGGATTGCAGAAGTTTTCAGTGTGTCTGCAGCCTTCATTAATGTGTTCCAGTGATTCAGACATCTGGTAATATCTGGTAATACGGTGGAGGCCGGGAATCTGGAAAACACGTGTGTTTGACAACCCCTAAAATGATCCCAAATCTAATCAAGCCATTTTGTTGCCTAACCTTCAAATGGGAACTCACCCGAGTCTGTCCTGGGGAGTTGCTCAACTGAACTCAATCACCTGTGCAGGAAAACTGAACTCCCTCTGAAAGTCCTCGGCTTCCTTTCCAGGTTTCAGACTGTTTGCCCACTTTCTCTTTCCAGCAAAACCTCATCGGATGATCTCTGAGGATGCAGAGTTGAACATCCCACCCTTTGTGGTCTTACTTGTGGTTTACTGTTTACTTTCAAATGGTGGCAAACGTGCACGCTCAGACAAAGGGACCAGCATCTCCAGCTGAGACGTGGGCTCCCGCCCCCCCCGCTGCAGCCTCTCTGGCTCACACACGCCCGCTCAGCCTGTGCTCACAGCCGCCATCTTGTGCCCTCATCACCACATCATCCAGGCTGCTATTTCCCTCAGTGTCCTCCCTCCTCTCTAGTACACACACAAAGACACGCACATGCAGACCCACCAACTTCCTCCATTCCCTCATCAGTTTCTACGTAGCACCATTCAGCAGCAGGGACAGAGAACAACACTTCTACACTCCCTGCCAGAGTCTCTCAGCCCATTTCAGTCTATTCAGTAAGATCCCCGGTCTTCCTTTTTGCCCTTGCTATGGGGACTATTTCCTGAGCAGAAACAAACGTGAGGCAGGCAGACATGCTTCATTTGCACTCTGACTGCTGACGTCTCTACCCAGCTGCCTCGGGTTTGGCTAAAGAGAAAGTCTGCTCACACGGATTCCACCACAGACAGCCAACATGTCTCCTTAAACTATGGGAGACTGACATCCATCAAAGAGGGATCTCTGTGAGTTTGGGCTGTTTGCCTGACAGTCTAATGTTCAGATGTGAGCTGGGGTCGGTCCGTTTAAAAGAGCTGAGCACAGAGATTTATCTGACAGCAGTTTAACATGAATGACTTTACACTGGCTTAGATTGCAGATGTATTGTAGATTGTTTGTGGCTTAGATTGCAGATGTATTGCAGATTAATTTGAAATTTTTTGTGACATTATCATCATGATATAGTGTCATTATAGTGGTTTGACTGGATTTGGTGAATATTAATAATGACTTAGTTGTCTTTTTTTACAGAATGTAGCAACAGACAGCCTTTCACTACAATCAAAAGTAGTTAAGAGCTAAATTATGGGTGCATTTTTATCATTAGTTTTGTGTCATGTGATAACAAATGTTGCAGTAAATGATTCTATCATTATAAGAGAGAAGATGCTTTTTTCTGTACCAGATATCGCACAATTCCACAGAACTTTTTCCCAAAATACAGACCCAACAGAATGGCACAGATGTGGAGTCTCTTCACTCAGCATTAACTTCTTCCAAAAAAGACAACTGTTTCCATGCATTATGATTTGGCTCCAAGATGAAATTCCGACTATACAGTAAGGGTTAAGTCCATCTGTTAACATTCCAAATGCTACAAAAACTCAGAGAAAATGGGGAATCTTCTTCAGTCCACACCAGGCATCCATCGGCACACCTTTAATGGACAAGACTAATAAGACAGCTACAACAATCAAGCCTCTAGAGACTATTGCCCAAGGTCAGCAGACCGGGGAGTGAACCAGTGAGCACATGAATGCCAGACATGTTCACAGATGGGTTTCTGATTCCCCCTGCCACAGACATATATGAGCCTTAATAGGATTTGTTCAGCTGTGTCACATGATCCTAGAGACTAACCTTTCTGTCCTCATCCACGAACTGAAATAACTGACGAATATCCTGACCCAGATTTCTCTACATTATTTTAGCTTATCTTGGGGGGTTCAGATGTAAGAGCGGTTCTTTGCCAACGGGCAGGTCAGTGGTCAGTGGCTCCATCCCAGAGGCTACATGCCGACAGCCTGGTGTTGTGTGTCCTGTTCGTGCCCATCCCAAGTAGTGGCGCCCGATGTAAAAACTCCTGCCAAAACCTGCATGCTACAGCTGATGGGCTGTGGTGACCCCTGATGGGAAAGGCCGACAGCAGTTTAGCCTATCGATGCAAGTCCAAACACAAGCCACGCAGAGAGTCACACTGCTGGAAAATCTGCGGTCCAGTTCTGGTGAAAACACAGGTACCTTTTCTAAAGTGGCTGTTTGCTGAGCTATGACTAAAGTCCTCCCTGTATCTGCTGACATACTGAACAAATATTGGTCAGATCTCCCTATCATGTTAGCATTAGTGTCATAAACAGCTAATGGCTCCAACAGCACCAAAGAAACCACAAGGCCTCTCTGAAGCAGATTCAGCAGTTACGTGCATGTGAATTCATCTATATTCAATGTGGTCATATCATCATTTGACACACACAGTTCTGCACTTCATTCATGTCATCATTTAATCAGCATGTTCTGTAGATTTTCAATATGAACCAAAATGCAAAAAGAAAATCTATATCACATTTTCTTAACAAAGTTTAAATGATGATGATAAAACAGGGCTCAGAAGTGTCAGATATGACATATGGACTAAGTGATTTGCATTGGAACCAAACTAAGCCCCAGAGTAAGCTCCAGAGTTCCCATCAGTGTTTTCAGGCAGGTGGAGGCCGGACCTTCCAGGTCCAAGAGGAGAAAGTACACAGAAGCTTTGAAATCTAAGTGGAATAACAAAAAGAAAATGATGCTTCTGAGAGGTGAGGCAGAGAGATTAAGATAAGGACATTAAACAGCCTTTGCTACTTGATAAAATGCCGAGCTTGAAGACAGGCCTTGTCTCACTGAATCCTGTTGCTCTGAGAAACAGCAGATGGAGGACAGGTTTTAAAAAACAATAATGCCAAGTAGATTTTTCACAGTGAATACTTTTTGTTAGTCATGTTAAGAACAGAAATAACTGTGATGAATGGCCAATTACAAATTACACAATGACATTCTTTTCACAAAAAAAAAAAAAAAGGCCAAGACACATTTTAAAATCTTGAAGAACACTCAGACTTGGAAATATGAATGAATTTCTTACAACATAGCAAAAATAAAGCTACTTACGACAAAAAAAATGAAAAGTCCCTCCCTACTTTGATCAAATCTATTGCTTTTCATGCAGGAATGTAAAAACTGAAAACGTTTGCTGGCAGCAGGCCTGAACCTGCACAGCATGAGTCACCCTGCCGTGCTCCTTATCTGCAGAGGTCTAATGCCATCAGATCATATCTGCTCAAGGTTAGCAGACTGGTGCTGCCAGGAAAGCTGGAGCTAAACATCAACGGCAGAAGCTGGGTGAGATCAGAGCAACGCGCCCCTCCTCAGGTGTCCGCTGAGTCCGGCTGAGGCCAGTCCAGCCTCAGGCCGCCCGCGCGGGAGGACTGGACACACAGAGTTGTGAGGCACACGCTATCCGTTTTTAAATGAGGGATGTGTCCTTTAGTCTGCTGCTGCTGACCTTGAATCCTCCCTGGTTAGAAATGCATCTCTGAGCCCCAGCCTACCTTTTGGAGAAAAGATCCAATCGATTGGCAAGGACGAGAGCCAATCATGCCGCAGAGGCACCGCATCCGCTTCAGGCCGGCCGTGCCTGAGACCAGACTGACCCACAGAGCACATGCCCAGCTGCTGCCTCCAGCTGTGTACAAGTGTTTCTATGCGCATGTGTGCCTGTGCATGAGAGCAAATGTTGGGTGATATTCACACCCGGGCCTGGCCTGGATTCGGCCTGACCCCTGCCGTCTGTCCGGCGTGCCGCCTGCGTTAGGATTAGGCGTCCATTGGCCCCTCTTGGCTCTGTCATTGTTATTCAGCAGCGCGTCTCGCAGAGCCTGCACCCTCAGAGCCGACAGATCGATAGGAGAGGCCAGCTCACACACACACGGCAACTCAGAGATCCCACCGACAAGCAACTCATTCAGCGCTAATTCACAAAGCAGGCTGGCCCCCAGCGCTGAGCCTTCGGACAGTCTATTCGTCATAATTGCGGTCAAACGCGCGGTTTGCTCGGTGTGAGGGGCAGATCAGGGCTTAGTGCTGCTGACACACATCGCACAGCAAGCACACGAGTCAAAGGAGCGCCGCGTAATCCCTCCTCCTCGCCGAGCACGCCGCTCCTGCTCTGTCCATTATCCGCTAGAAAATATGCAGCCGGAGCCAGAGCCCCGCTGCTTCTGCTGCTGGAGCCACCTTGACTTGACTTCTAACAGACCCACTTATTCAGCCTGGGATGGTTAAACATGTGGGACCCTGTGCTGTGGTTAAAGCACACCGTGGGTTTTAAAAAGAACTGTCAAACACGGCTTCAGCTGCAGAAATCGCTAATTACTGTGATGCTCCTATAGATGAGACTGATGAGACTGACTAATTACTGTGATGCTGCTATAGATGAGACTGATGTCAGGGCTGTGAGTGGGGACAGACTCACAGCTAAGTGCCGGCATTCAGGATTAGCTTGGACCGCACATGGCAATGGAAACATAAATAGATCATGTGACAAAGTTCAGCCTGTTCTGAGTCCATGTTCTCTATTTTTCTTTTCTAATCATACGTCACAAACCTATCAGCAACATCTGGATAACCCCCAACATTCAGCCAGTCCGGAAAAAGCCACTACCAACTTAAACCATATCGGCCTATCAAACAACATATTCAAAGTCTGACTTCAAAGTCACTGAAGCAATATTTTCTACAGATTTGGAAGAAACTAAATATTGCAATCATTTGCAGATGTAGAAAGTAATATAGCTAAATTGATGTTCTATTAATGTTGACTTGCCTAGTTAATGTAAGACAGGCTAAATGGTACAAATGTTTCCAGTATTCTGCTTAAACTTCTGCCATTTGTGTTTCCATTAATGCACAGCTACCAACTCTTTCCCAATAACGCTCTGAACAGGAAGGGGAGGTCTGCTACATGCAGAAATCTGCTGCGAGACTTGTCAGACTGGCCTGTTCCAGCTGACTCTGGCACAACTAGCAAATGTCTCCAGACTCCTGGATAACAGGACAACAGGCCCCTAAAGACCTTAAGCCTAAAGTAGGACCCATCTCACAGTGCAGCGTCAGCTTTAGGACCATTCTCCTTATGTCAGGTGTAGGTTTTGGACATGAATGTCTGTCGAGCTGTTAAGGGCCAAATATATTTACATAGCCATCTATCTATCCACACGCACACACGCACACACACACACACACGGTATATTAGAAATGCAGTCAACACTGCTATTGCCTCCGGAGCACACACTGCAAGTGAATTAGCATAAAGGTTGAAATTCAAGACGTCAGTCTCAAAGCAGGAGCCACTGGCTGTTGTTGAACCCTCCTGTTGTCTTGGGTGCAATTACAAGTGCTTCATTAACAGGTCGTAGTTTGATTGACTTCCATTGAATTGCCTGAAGACGAAATGGATGCTTCCATACTTTTGCTTTTTTAAACTCTGACACTAAGCGCTCTTTTATGAAGCAAAGCAGACTGGGGGCGGTAAACGGAAAGACAACAGGGTTAGGGTTAAACCTAGTTCTGATCAGAAAACCTGGCTCTGTTTGGTCCAGATTTAAAGTTAATGAAGCATATTTATCTCTCTTCTTTAAATACAGTAAAGATGAAGCTAGCCGAATCTAAATGTGCCTCTTGAATACAAAATAAAGGCGGCCTACAGATCAAGCCCGTTTTGCTAACGCTGCAGTCCTGTCAACAGGTATCGCAGGCCTGATTAAATATTTAGACAGTTTACTGCGGAGTGCAGTGGTCTGGAGCAACATGCACCCACAGAAACTGTTTATGCTTGTTGCTTTGATTTAAATTAGATTTGAATGAGGAGTCAGAGACAGCCGGCTCCATCATTGAAGGCTGATTAGAAGCTTTAATAAAGGCGCCAGCTGCTGCACACCATTTAATCAGCACTATTGACATGAGAGCCGTGTGCTTCCAGTTCCAGGCAGATACCCACCACCCACAGCTGCCTCCTGCTTCTGTGGAGGATACGTGATGCAGATAGACCAGAGCTGAAGAACGTGAAGTGAGTAATCTGGACAGGAGAAAGCGGACCAGACGAATAAACAGTTCCCAAACCCTCCATGGAGACGTGACCTTTTCCCAGTGAAGATGAAGTTGTGTGTTTGGTCCTTGACAGGTAATTTCATCAGTAGATAGAGATGCGCTTTTTTAACCAGTGACCGGGCAGCTTTTGAAATAGCTGCTCACTCCCACTTGACCGTGCTGGACATTGGTCAAACCGCATTACCTCAGGACATTCTTCATTTGTGGGGTCTCTCTGGGTGAATACTTTGGTGGGCTTCTAGTTTAGTTTTCCTTCAACTTTAACTTTAGGCAACATGCTTAGTTAACTTAGAGTGACCATGAGAAAACAAATATACTCTCACATGGAGTATTGGGTTTAAGAACAGCACACTAAAGGGAGTGGACCTGAGGGGAGGAGGTCCAGTCCACCCCGTCTCTGGGCTGGACTGACCTGCTTTAGCAGCTTGAGGAGGAGCTGGAAAATATTAAGTGGCTGGTCATAAAGAAAAGGCTTTTTATACATACAGCATCAATATTACAGCTTTGTCTCAGAGATACACAGAAGTTGTACTTTGGCTTTATTATCTGACACAACTGCAGGGATAATAAATGCTCAGACCCAACCTGGAAATATGTTCTTATCAGCAAATATGGGAGGAAGTCACATGTTTGGTATAGTTAATCCAAATAACTACGCATGGCTTGTCTTTCTTTCAGCTCTGGCTGGTGTTAAAGAGCTTCAGAAATAAAGCTGATGATGATGTGAATTACTAAACTCCAATTACCAAACTCATCCAAAGAGTACACCATCAGACATCTGAAATTTAAATACTGATGAAAAGGGCGCAATTGCAGGATAATTATAGGGATAGGAACAGTCAGCTATTATAACCATAATGGCAGAAACATGCATGCAATAACCAGAATGGCCCCAGCTCACCAGTCAGATCACTTAGCCCGCCCGTGTGCTAAAGCTCGTAGTCAGTACACGTTCCCACATCCCTCCTCCATTTCTGGCTTCCTAAAAATGTCAGGCGCCCTCTCAGGGCCTCTGCAGTCTCTGGATAGTCTAAACTGCTCAAACACACTCACACAAACTTTTTCCAAGAACACTCAGGTACAAAGACTGACACACCATGACCACCGCCTGACCTCTGCTGAAAGAGAGAACAACAACCTGTCAAAGAGGAGCCGATATTTCTGTGACTCCAGAGCTGAGAGAAAAATGTTATTTGACTAAATTTCTTCTTTGCTTTATTTATCCCCAAAAAAGCTGACACTACCTGATAACTGCAGTGTTCTCGACTGTTGAAAAACTTTATTGACAGTGATCATTTGTAAATACGTCCTCTAAGCCTGTTCTGACTTCTGGCTCAGGACGCAACAGGCTGCAGGAGGCTGGACACGGTACCAGGGAACAGTCCAGGGAACGGTCCAGGGAATGGTCCAGTGAATGGTCCTCTCATGGCCAGGGCGACTGGCACATAGCTTGTGCCCACATGGTGATGGGAAACTGTCTTTTGCCTTTTCTTTCTGGGCATCTCTTAGTTACCAGTAGCTCCAGAGGAGGGTCACAGACTCCACCCTGGCTTCTTCCCTGAGCTCCATCACACCTGGGGACTGGCCGGGACCATGACCTCACAGGGAGAGTGAGACCCTCAGTCTCTCCCATGGTCTGATGGGACCACAGGGTTAGAAACGTGAAACGTTTTGACATATTTTATTTATATATATATATTTATATATTTGACATATTTTCACTGTCTGGAACCACTGCCTGGTGCACTAGGTCCATGATCGGGTTAGATCCTGCTGGAGAGCATGGATGAGGACCCAGAGTGTGGACAACAGGAACTACGGAGCCAACCAGGGATGAATGTACACAAAAAAAAAAGCAGCCAAGACATCAAATTAAATAAAACTTTAAAAAACTAAACAGGAGAAACCTGACAGAAGCAGCAGACATCAGCTCTGAAAAAGTCCATTGAAAACTGGGGACAACCATTGATGGATGGACATTATGATCAACTTCAATCATCCCACAGCAGGGAAATTCAATTATTGGGTGAGAAAAGAGTGAGAAAACCTTGGAGCTTATGTACACAAAGCAATAGAGCAGACTCAGTGAATGACTCCATAAATTCAACAGTTACAATTCTAATACGATGATCCACATTTAACCAGTGAGCAGTGCTGACCAGCAGCTCAGTGGGGTCACCAGGTGGGGACCTCCTCCATCAGGGTTTTAACTATTTGGGCCCACAACACCACCATGAGGCTGGGCAGAGCCCCCCCCCCCAATGCCAGCCATCACAGAGGAGAGCCATCAGTGAGAGCAGGCAGCTGAGCATAATGAGAACAGGTGAAGGCAGAGGAACAGATGCCCACTCTGGAAAAACACTGAGGCTGTGGGCGAGACTGACAGGAAGCAGAAACCAGGCAGACAATAAACAAACTAACAACACCAGAACAAAAGAATGATCGACAGGACAAAAACACACTAGAAATGCAAAGGTCAAAGCACAAGTAAAGCACGGATAAATAACCCAAACTGCAGCAACTATCCACCACTGAGAGGAAGAAGCACCAAGCAATGCCACAAGAGAGACCCCCTTTTCTACTTTATGGCACAAATGAACACCAAATCAGTTATCTTCACTCTGGCTGAGGGTTTCAGCTTTAACCAGGAGGATTCAGGCAGACAGTCTGCATGTTCCCAGTACGACACTGGCAGGACAAATCTCCAGCTCACAAGAGATGAGGAAAATCTGTTTGGGGGGATTTCTTTCAATTGCAATTTCTATGGAGGGTTGGTATATGTGTAAAACCTTAATGTCCTGTCAACAGATGTTAAACCTCGATAGGACTGGATTCAGTTTCTAGAGAGATAATAGAGTCTTATCAAAATCCTCTTTTTTTTTCAAAGAAAGCTGCTGCACAAATCTGATCAATAAAATAA